ATGGGCTTTTCAGCCAGATCCGAGTGCCTTTAGGTACTAGGACAACTTAACGGGGTCCTAAATTGGACACTGTGTATCTTAAAAGGGTGTATCCTTTTTAATAGGTAGGGTGAACTTGAAAGTGCAGTTCTGAGGCTCATGTTACATAATCTGTCCATTAAAACTATGAGAATAGTGGTTGTGAAAAGACTATAAAATAGGCTTTCCTTTTGCAGATAGAAGGGGACAATTAAGTGTTGTAGAAGAGACAAAAGAAGCGCTGTGACCTGCCTCTTGGGAGCTGGACAGTCTAGGGGAGAGTGTGAAGAGCACTCCTAGGCTAGAGAAGCTGGGTTGATTTCAGCTAGAGAGGGCCAGGGGGTGGGGAGACTCCAGGTTCCGAAAGCAGTGGCCACTGAGATGGCAACTCTCAATAAGGAGGTGGGGAGTAAGGTTCCCAGTGGACTGAGGGGTGTTGTGTGTTTGGCAGATGCCCTGGTTTAGCCCTCTTTAGATATAGCCATGGGGGCCCAGCGCTGTGGCACAGTGGGTTAAAGCTCCAGCCTGCAGTGCCGGCATCCCATATGGGCTCTGGTTTGAGTCCCGACTGCTCCACTTCTGATCCAACTCTCTACCGTGGCCTGGGAAAGCAGTGGAAGATGGTCCAAGCCCTTGAGTCCCTGCACCCACGTGGGAGACCTGAAAGAAACTCCTGGTTCCTGCTTTCGGATCGGTGCAGCTCTGGCCATTGCGGCCATTTGAGGAGTGAAACAATGGAAGGAAGACCTTTCTCTCAGTCTCTCTCTCTCACTGTCTGTAACTCTACCTGTCAAATAAATTAAAAAAAAAAAAAGAAAAGAAAAGAAAAGAAAAGAAAGAGGAAAAGCAGCAGCCACGGGCGTAGCAGAAGCTCCAGGAGCAGACCTATCTGGCTTAAATTCTCATCCTTATGGAATTTGAGGCAGATTTCTTAGCCTATCAGAGCCACCAAATCCCAATTAGATGTGAAAATACCTGCAGACTATATAGACGCAGTGCCTGAGGCATAGAGAGCACTCAGGAAACACTGGGTTCCTTCCCCTCCTCCCTGGAGCTCCGGGATTCTCCCGAAGCCCTTTGCTCCTGCTGGGATTTTTCTTTTAGGTGACTCTGGCAGCAGCTGGTGGAGCACTGGGTGATGTTGTCCATGCTGCAAGACCGTGAGTACCGCTCAAGGGAGGAGGGCCTGGGGACAGTCCTGGGAAGTGGAGGAGGCTAGACCGCTGCTCCAGAGCTCCCCTGGGCCCTCCACCATCGCCACTGGCTACCCAGCCCCTGCTCCCTGCCCAGGGCTGTGCACCGATCAGGACCTGCTGATGATGCAGGAGGGCACGACGATGCGCAAGGTGAGGTCCAAATCCTGGAAGAAGCTGAGACACTTCAGACTCCAGAATGACGGCATGACAGTCTGGCACATGCGGCAGCCCGGTGGCAGCGCTAAACCCAGCTGTGAGTGACCTGGGTGGCTGGGAGTGAGCCTGTGGACCAGGGCCCTCTGGCAGTGTGTCCTTATGCTGTCCCACCTGGGGCTCTATCTGAGCCTCTAAAAGGAGATCCTAGCAGGAAGGCTGGTGTCAGGATTAAATCAGTGCGTACGCAGGGCTGAGCAGAGCCCTGGCACCTACTGGGTGGGTTACAGCTTAGTCTTGTATTCCATTCATGGTCTCAGGCATCTGCCTGCTTGGATTCAAGCCCTGGCTCCACCACTCTCTAGCTGAATGGCTCTAGACAAGTGACTTCATGGAGTTTCTTCCCTTATCTGCAGACTGGGGATTAAGCACTTCCGGTCTAGTAGATCACAGGGACTCAATGAGGACAGGTGTAAAGCAGTTAGCCCAGGACCTGAAGCCAAGAAGGCACTGAAGAACGGTTAGCCATCTGATGGGTGTTGTTGATTATCACAAATGCCTCACAGCGGCGTTCATCCTAGCGGCCAAACTCCAATACCGCTAAAACTTCGGTCACAGGATTCATCTAAGAGTCTGTGTTAGGGATGTAATCGAAGCTCCCAACCTGCACGACCTCCAGCTGAGGGAAGGAGTGGAAGGACCGCTGCGGCTCCCCTCCTAGACATCTGGAAAGAGGAAGCCTCCAGACCTGGCAAGAAAGAACTGAGCGTGGGCATCTACTGCCTTGGTGTACCTGCTCTGGCCTGCCAGTGATTTCCAGTTGTCATCCCTGCCAGTCCTGTGCTCACCGTCAGGACTGGTCATGGAGGGGGACCAGCGTGACTTATCATGAGAACTCCGAAGGGTTAAATCATTTTGGTCTGTGTCACACTGCCAGGTGGTGGCCAGAAGCCAGGTCTTGTCACCTCCTGGTACATGCCCTTTGCTATGCTGTCTAGGAAAGCAGCAGGTCTCCCTGTAGTAATGCTTTTTGGGGTCCAGCCTGCAGAGGCTGAGGGTCCTCTGTCCTGTGGCTTCACAGCGGGAGGGGTGCTCGGCCCCAGTCCTCTGCCCCCGCAGCGTGCGGGCCTCCCTCAGTGCCTGTCCCTGCTGCTTCTCCGCAGTTTCCATCTCTGATGTGGAGACGGTGCGGAAGGGCCACGACTCTGAGTTGCTGCGCAGCCTGGCAGAGGACTTTCCGCTGGAGCAGGGCTTCACCGTCGTCTTCCATGGTCGTCGCTCCAACCTGGACGTGGTGGCCAGCAGTGCTGAGGAGGCCCAGGTGTGGATGCAAGGGCTTCAGCTGTTGGTGGACCTCGTCACCAGCATGGACCAACAGGAGCGACTGGACCAGTATCAGCAAGACCGAGTCTGGGTGTGGGCTCAGGGCAGGGGTGGGGGGTGGGGGAGGGCGCTCACTGAAAGAGCCAGATCTGTAGCGCCAGAGAAGGTGGGAAGGGGGAGGGCCTTAGGAGGCCTAAGGGTCCAGATGGTGGGGCAGGGGTGTCCCAGGCCGATGGGTGACAGAGTTCTGAGGAGGAAGAATGGAGCCCAGGGATGGCTGGGACATGGCCAGGTGGAGTTTGAATGTGAATCAGGACCCTGCCCACCCTGGGAATGGGGGAAGGGGCAGAGGAGCAAACAAGGTGCTGCTCCGGGAGTGGAACGGAAGACCCCAGAGCATGGCTGACCACAGGGTGGGAGGCCGCCCTCCAGGCTCAGGGGTTTGGTCGCACTTCCAGTTTCTGAGATGGCCTTCCTGGCTTATCCATTCATGCATCATGTATTAAACAGAACGCGTCAGGCCCCGTACCAGGCATCTAGGGTACAACGATCACTCAGCTACTACTTCAGGGACAGGAGAGGATCTGTGCAAATGAAGGCCATAGAGGTGCTTTGGCCCTTAGGTGATTTGTATGTGTTCAAAGGAAGGAACCTGAGGGGGTTCTGAGAAAACCTGAGAGAAGAAATAGCAAGGGAACTGGGTCTTGAAAATGAGTAGTATTTTTTTAAAGTATTTTTTTAATTTGAAAGGTGGAGAGACAGAGACAGAGACAGAGAAATTCCTTGTGTGGGTTTACTCCCCAGATATACACAACAGTCAGGGTTGGGCCAGCTGCCAAAGCTGGCAACTCCATGCAGGTCTCCCATGTGGGTGGCAGGGACCCAAGTACTTGAGCCATCACCTGCTGCCTCCCAGGGTGTGCATGAGCAGAAAGCTGGATCAGAAGCAGAGGCAGGACTCGAACCCAGGCACTGACAGGTGACGTGGGCATCCAGAGCGGCACGTTAACTGCCGTGCCAAACTCCTGCTCCGAAAGTGAGTAGAATTTGAACATGAGAAGAAGAGGAAATGGCATGCTCGAGTGAGGGAACGGGAGTGCAGGCCCAGAGGGAGGAAACTGAAGAGCAGGAGAGACATCTGAGAGCAGGGAGTTGCTGAGTGCGCTGAAGAACGAGGCCGAAGCATCGAGAAGGCTGGGCAGGCCGAACCACAGCAGCGAAGAGGCTGTTAACTTCTGGGTTCAGGAATTTGAGGTTCTGCAGGCAGCAGGGGGGTCCTGCAGGCACCGGAACACTGCAATGACAGGGCACTTGTGCTGTGAAGGGATTATTCTGGAACAATGGAAAATGGTGGGGAGACTGGGAGAGATGTGGGTGGATGAATATGCACACACATCTACACACACACGCATACATAACACACACACACAGCTTTTGCCTTAACTCAGACCTGGATGGCTGAGTGATTGGTTCCAGCGTGGAGACAAAAACCAGGACGGGAGAATGAGTTTCCAAGAAGTTCAGCGGTTACTGCACCTGATGAACGTGGAGATGGACCAAGACTATGCCTTCAGTCTTTTTCAGGTGAGTCGTCTGCCTATGGCCTGCAGGAGCCAGCCAGGCCCAGTTTCAGGTGCACAGAAGTCCCCCTGACCCCAGTCAATAACACATTTGTCGACTTCCTACCATGAGCCCTAGCACCTTGGGAGACTGGGTAAGAAGTGCAGGGCATGGCTCTTGCCCCTCGTTCTTGGTGGGGGGGGGGGTGAGGAATAGTCCCATGGACGGTGACTCACAGTATGTTACTGGGTTGGACATGGAGGGCCTCTTGTCCGTGGTCAGGGTTTCACACGTGCCTCACACAAAGCCCTATCTGGAATGCGAGTAAATAGGAGGAGGGTCTTCTGGCCCTTCTGGGACCATTGGAGGAATTTTTAAAAATGTCTGTTTGTTTACTTTTATTTTTTTAAAGATCCATTCATTTACCTGAAAGGAGCCACAGAGAGAGAGAGAGAGAGACAGAGAGAGGTATCCTCTATCCACCAGGCCACTCTCCAAATGACCACAATGGCTGGGGCTGGGCCAGACTGAATCCAGGGACCTGGAACTCTGGCTCAGATCTCCCATGTGGGTGCAGGGGCCCAAGCACTTGGGCCATCCTCCGCTGCTCTCCCATGCACACCAGCAGGGAGCCGGATCAGAAGCGGGGACTTGAACTGGCACCCATATGGGACGCCAGCTTCACAGGCAGCAGCTTAACCCACTGTGCCACAGTGCCAGCCCCTATCTATTTTCATCTACTTGAAAGGCAGCATGACAGAGAAAGGGTGAGATAGAGATCTTTCATTTGCTGGTTCACTCCTCAAATGCCAGCAACAGCCAAGGCTGGGCCAGGCCAAAGCCAAAAACCCAGAACTCCATCTGGGTCTCCTGTGTGGGTGGTAGGGGCCCAGGCACTGGGGCCATCATCTGATGCCTCCCAGGAAGCTCCTTCACGGGAGGCTGGATTGGAAGCAGAGGCGTCAGGCCCCAAAGCAGGCAGTCTGATACGGGATGCAGGCGTCTTCAGCAGCATCTTAGCTGCTGTGGCAAATGCCTGCCCCTCCCACCACCCAGTTGGGAGATTTAACTGTTCCTGGTTGAAACTTTTCTCTACTAGCAAATGGTATGGCTGAAATGTCTTTTACTTACCAAAGTGGCTTCTTTAATGAAGCCTGAGTATCAGGAGGTCTGTGGAGTTCATGGAAGTTCTCTGGGTTGTCAGTAAGATTGCTCTCACAGAGCTAGTCAGCCTCCTACAGTTTCTCACTAAAGGGTTGTGCACGCTCCCCTAACCCTCTCTTACAGGCGGCGGACACATCTCAGTCTGGGACTCTGGAAGGAGAAGAGTTTGTGCAGTTCTATAAGGCCTTGACCAAGCGTACTGAAGTGCAGGAACTGTTTGAAAACTTTTCAGCTGACGGGCAGAAGCTGACCCTGCTGGAATTCGTGGATTTCCTTCGAGAAGACCAGAAAGAAGTAGGCCACGCCCCCGACCTTGCCCTGGAACTCATCGATCGCTATGAGCCTTCAGCCAGTGGTAAGGGAAACAGGGTGGAAAGGCATCAGCTCTGGGGCTGTGGGTAGGGGCTCGGCATGACTGTAGAAGTCCAGACAAGCAGCCTTGTACACAGCTTCCCCTGGCCCCTGCCCAGACATTGCACGGAACCACTGCTCCCAGAGGAGAGCCGCGTTCTCCACCGACAGGAGTCTCCTCTCAGGAGGAGGAAGACTCCATAGGGCCCCTCCTCCCTGTGCTCACGCACCATACCCTTCACTTTCCGGAGATTCTTCCTGGTAGCAGCTTTGTCCTTGGTCCTCTTGCTTTGGCCTGTTCTCTATAAACGATCCCTTTCCCTCCGGGTCCCCTTCTTTGGTTCCCGTTTGCTTAAATGCTGGCTCTCTGTGCCTTCCTAGGCTTTCTCCGAATTCCTCCAGTGGTTCTTGAGACTCTAATCCTCTGAGCAGGAAAGCAGTCAGCCTGAGGCTAGAGGGGATAAGGAGGAAGCCGATTATTATTTTTAAATAAATTTATTTATTTATATGAATGGCAGAGTTATAGAATGAAACGGGGGCGGGAAGAGAGAGAGAGGAAAGATCTTCCATGTGCTGGTTCATTCCCCAGATGGCTGCAACAGACATGGCTGGGCCAGGCTGAGGCCAGGAGCCAGAAGCTGCATCCAGGTCGCCCGCATGGGTGGCAAGGACCCAAGCACTTGGGCTGTCTCTGCTGCTTTCCCAGGCAAATAAGCAGGGAGCTGGATCGGAAGTGGAGCAGCTGGGACTCTAGCCGGTGCCCACATGGGGTGCCCCAAGGAAACTGGTTATTTAGTAGTTGACAAGTACAGCCAAAATAAGTGCTCACGGTCCTCAAACTCTCCTTCCCCTTGCCCTTCGGTAGACTTGTTTCATGATTGAGAAATGATTTAATGATGGATTTTATAATTAAAAGGGAAGCAGGATGGAAAAATTTGAGAAACTCTCAGTCTGGTCATAGAAAGGATAAAAAAGCGTGTCTGTGAGAGAATACTCTAGAAGAAGCCATATTCTATTCATCAAGACAACAGAGAATTACTCTGAAGGCATTTTAGAGACCTGCAAGGCAAGCTAGGATATTAAAAGTAAGGTCCCTAAAGAGGCACCCACAGGACCACAGGACCCCGGCATTAGCTGCCCAGGGCTGCCTTGATACCATGCTTCTTACAATCTGGTAGAGTGCCCTTCAGCTACCCCAGCTGCGGCTCAATTGGGCCCAGTACAGCTCAGCCCACTGCCCTGGAAGGTACAAGCCGTAAGCCTCAGTGGTGTCCACATAGTGCCAGTTCTGCAGGTGTGTGGAATGCAAGTGCTATGGGGACCATGGCTTCCACCTAGACTCCAAAGGATGTCATGGGCAGCCTGGAGGCCTAAGCAGAGAGACTTGTCACAGAGGCAAGGCCACTGTAGAGTGGCCCTCGCTAGGGCAAAGCCTGGTGGGGCCATAGGAGTAGGGCAGCACCCAAAACTCCACAACTCCAGCCTGGGGAAGCGGTAGGCAGGCATGAGACTCACCCATGAGAGCTGCTGGCTGGCCTGAGCCCAGCACAGCCATGGGGGTAGGGCTTCCTGAAGCCTTGGGATCCAAACCCTTCTCCAGTTTGCTCAGAGTCAAAGCAGACTGTTGTCCAACTTTAAGACTGAATGTTGTTATCCCTGTCGGAGTTACTAGGGATCAGTCACCCCATTATTCTTGCCTATTTCTTCCTTTTGGAATGGGCATGCTTACCTTATGCCAGCTCCATCATGATATTTTGGAAGTGTGTAACTTGTTCATTTCACAGGCTCACAGCTAGAGAGGAATTTGCCTTTGAATGAATTGTGCCTTAAATCTCACATGTATCCCATTCAGACAAAACTCTGGCTGGGCTGTTGAATTGGTGCTGGAAGAATTAAGACTTTGGTGCAAGGTGTCCGGCGCATAACAAATCTTCCCAGGCAGACGAATCAATTAATTCACAGGCTTTTATTGAGGTTCCGCTCCCAGGCAAGGTTCCCCAGTCCCAACAGAGCAACAGAGCGGGGGCCGGGGAAGTCGCGCGTCAGAGATTGGGAGAGCTCCTTTTATAGATTCAGGGCATGGGGGTTAAAGGTTGAGGCGGGTCTGATCCTCATTGGATGACCTTTAGGCACCTGCAGGGACCTTGACAAGGACTTTTCTTCCCCGCAAGTACAGGTAGGGACTTTCCATTCCCGGAAGTGTAGGCCTTCCCTCCTTGTGGGTCCCAAAGCTACCATCTGGGACTCTTGGTATAGCATGAATGTATTTTACATGGGAGGAGGACATGAGTTTTGGGTGCAAGAGGCAGAATGTTATGGATGAAATGTGTCCCCCAAAGGTCACAAGTTGAGAACTTAATGCCCAAAGCAACAGGGTTGGGGAGAGACCTTCGAGAGGTGCTTCCGTGATGAGAGCTGTGCGCTCATGACTGGATTAGTGCTGTCATTGTAGGAGTGCGTTGGCTACCATGGAAGTGAGTCCCTGATGAGAACTAAGTTCAGCCCCTCCCCCCTCCCCCCTGCTCTTGCACATGCTCTTCTGCCCTTTTGCCTTTCACCATGGTCAGACGTGGGCCCCTCAACCTTGGACTTGCCAGCCTCCAGAACCGTAAGAAACGAATCTCTGTGCTGTGCTTTATGAATTGCCAGGTCTGTGGGATTCTGCACAGCTGCATAGCAAACTAAGACAAAGTGTGTTCAGCTCCTCACCACTCTTGACATTCCCTCCCCGTGCACCTGACAATCAGATTGTGGTACCAATCAAAAGAACTGATCTCTGCTTTGCTAATGAACTGAGTATCCTTGGGCAAGTCACTTAACTGCTCCGAGATGCATTCTGAAAAATAAGTGGAGATGAAATGAAATAATTCACATCCGAAGTATCTGCCACCTGTGGGTTTCCATGAGTGATGAGTTACTACTGTCAAAAAGGAAACTTCCTGCCCCTCTCCACCATCTCTAGGCCCTGCCAAACCTGGAATAAAGGAGCTGGGCATGACAGTTGAATTGTTCCACCTCCCAAAGGAGCCCCTCTGTGGGACCTTACCCTCAGTGACACCGCACAGACTGGCAGTGCAGGGCATGGCTCTGACAACCTGGCTACCTGGCTTCCAATCCCAGCCCCTGCACTTGCTGGTTATGAGAACTGGGGCCAGTTGCCCAACATCTCATGGCCACCTCGCTGGGTCAGTGAGGGCATGAAATGAGACTCTGTATGTGATGTCCCTGGCACAGAGCAAGTGCTCAATAGCTGTTAGGCATCATTGTTATGGTTTGAAGTCCACGCTGAGATGGGTGATGGCTATGGAAGACCCTTCCCTCATCAAGAGTATAGTCTAAGGAGACACTTGCAAATGCTCCTGTAATGAGAGCACAGACAGTAGCAAGAAACCCTTAGACCATAGGTGGTGGCCACTACAGAGAGCCCAGGGAGGAAAACACAGGTCCCCTGGCCAGATCCTTAAGCAGTCTGACTTTCTCTCTAGGCTTCCCACCTGTAAGAACACCACTTTGGACTGGACACTGGACAGTGCTGTCCATGATGGTAACTGTGAGCTCCATGTGACTAGTTAAAGTTAAATGATCTAAAGTCAAGTAAAATTTAAAATTCAGCTCCTCAGTCATATAAGCCACATTTCAATGCTCACAGCTGCACATGACTAGAGCCATCCCTGGCAACACTGTGGCACAGAGCATTGCTAGAAAGTTCTATTGGAGCCGGCGCCGTGGCTCAATAGGCTAATCCTCCACCTTGCGGCGCCGGCACACCGGGTTCTAGTCCCGGTCAGGGCACCGGATTCTGTCCCGGTTGCCCCTCTTCCAGGCCAGCTCTCTGCTATGGCCAGGGAGTGCAGTGGAGGATGGCCCAGGTGCTTGGGCCCTGCACCCCATGGGAGACCAGGAAAATCACCTGGATCCTGGCTCCTGCCATCGGATCAGCACGGTGCGCCGGCTGCAGCGGTGGCCACTGGAGGGTGAACCAACGGCAAAAGGAAGACCTTTCTCTATCTGTCTCTCTCTCACTGTCCACTCTGCCTATCAAAAATAAATAAAAAAAAAAAAAAAGAAAGTTCTATTGGACAGCACTGGACCGGGGGTGATCTTACCGAATGATGCCCCTTAATGTGCTCTGAGGCTGGGAATGACTGGAACAAGAAATGCTAGGTGGGAAAGTCTGGGCTCTGAAGGCGGGGAGTGGCCACCATCTGGAAGGTACAACCTTGGAGGGGCCCTCCCCCTCAGAGCTGCTCCACATCCCGCCCCCTAGGCAAGCTGCGGCACGTGCTGAGCATGGACGGCTTCCTCAACTACCTGTGCTCCAGGGATGGGGCCATCTTCAACCCAGACTGCCTCCCCATCTACCAGGACATGACCCGGCCCCTGAGCCACTACTTCATCAACTCCTCCCACAACACCTACCTGGTGGGAGACCAGCTGTGCGGCCAGAGCAGCGTCGAGGGATACATCCGGTGCCGTGGTTGTTGGGGAGGGTCCAGCGTAGGAGGGGACCCCTCTGTGGGAGACTGAAGGGCATCACTAGCATCGAGAAGGTTTTGGGGGTGTTGGGAGCTGAGGGTCGCTCCTCACTTGGAGGAGGTACTACTGACTAGGAGGGGACGGTAATGAAACCCTCAGAGTACATGGAATTTCGTCCTTTCTCAAGCTATGGTACTCTCTTGGGACTCAGAGGCCCTGGCAGGTTTATTTTGAAAACCTAGATAAACTGGATGTTAAATGGAAGGCAGTAGGAGTTAGAAACACGGGTTCTCGACTTAGACCACCAAGGTCAGATCCTAGTTCCCTGACCTCTCTCTGCCTCAGTTTTCCCATCTATGAAATAGGGATGGCATTGCTATGTGTACCTCTTATGTCTGGATTGTGGTGGAGGGAGATTCAGGGGGCTAATCCACGTGTCCATAGCTAGTAAGTACCGATCATGAATCAACTGGAATAGTCAGGATACCCCTGTAGTGCCAGCAACCGAAGTAGTTGCTTTAAGAGATACAAAACGAATGGAACTTTTACTCCAAAGTGAGTGAAACTTCCCTGGTGGAAACCATCAGGCACCTTGCAACCGAGAGTGGGCCTCACCTGGGCATTGTTCTGCCAGACACAGAGGTACCACGAGGCAGGCCGTGGGACCTGCTAAGGAAGTGCAGTGAGTTGGGTGGGACAGGTAGGGTGAAGATCAGCGTGAGCTTCAGCGGCACCCTGGGGTCAGAGAGAGCCCCGTGGAGACATAGCTCGAGGGGGTCTGGACAGACAAGTGCTGGCGAGAGGGTCCTCGGTGGAAGATGAGCCCTTGACCTCTCCTGCCTCTGGGGCTGGGGTTCCTGCAGGGCCCTGAAGCGGGGCTGCCGCTGCGTGGAGGTGGATGTGTGGGACGGACCCAACGGGGAGCCCATCGTTTACCACGGACACACCCTGACCTCCCGCATCTTGTTCAAGGACGTCCTGGCCGCAGTAGCACAGTACGCCTTCCAGGTAGTAGCCCGGAGGCACTGCTGATGCAAGAGGGACTGAGGCAAGAGTTGCTGGCTCCGGGCCTGGGAGGCGCACGGGGGCAGTGGGGCGGTTACATCAAATAGCATGGTGTGTGCGCAAGAGGTATAGCTGCAAAGCATCAGGCTACCACCACGGGCTTCTTAGAAATAAGTGGCTGATGCGTTCCCAGGAACTAACGGTCACAGAGGTAGCCACTAGCGGTTAGTAACTGTTGCTCATAATAATTTTCCTCACCCACCTGGGACGGGGTGGGTACGGGAACAGATGGAAACCACGGTGAGTGCAGCTGAGTCTGGAGGTGAAAGCCAGGGGCTGGCCCGGCTCGCCCACTCTGAGCCTTACACAGTCAGACGTGGCGTGTGAGTGAGACTTCGGAGCCCAAGAGTGACCTTTAGATGTGGATGGTGTCTCTGGGGGTGGGTCCCAGAACCCAGGAGGGTCTCACTGGGCCGTGCGTAGGAGCAGGTGTTGGAGGCGTTTAACAATCAGGGTGCTCGTTTGTGAGTACAGAGGCGGGCGTAGGAGCAGGTGTTGGAGGAGGTTCAACACACACTTGAGAACCCTGGACCCAGCAGCCCCTCCGCTCCCCCGCAGACGTCCGACTACCCTGTCATCTTGTCCCTGGAGAACCACTGCAGCTGGGAGCAGCAGCAGAGCATGGCGCGCCACCTGACCGAAATCCTGGGCGAGCAACTGCTCAGCACCGCCCTGGACACGCCGCTGCCCACTGAGCTGCCCTCGCCCGAGGTAAGGCCCCGCCCCGCCAGCCCACGCTCTGCTGCGGCTCCCGTGCCGCACTGTGCCACCTGGGCTCCTTCCACATCCCCCATATTCCCATCTTTCTGTCCTCACATGGGACCCTCTCTTATGTCCTTGGAGACACCGTTTTTTTTTTTTTTATAAGGAACGTTTTTTAAGATTTATTTATTTATTTATTTACTTGAGAAGTAGAGTTATAGATGGTGAGAGGGAGAGACAGAGAGAAAGGTCTTTCCTCTGTTGGTTCACTTCCCAAATGGCCGCAACGGCCGGAGCTGTGCCAATCTGAAGCCAGGAGCCAGGAGCTTCTTCCGGGTCTCCCATGTGGGTGCAAGGACCCAAGCACTTGGGCCATCTTCCACTGCCTTCCTGGGCCACAGGAGAGAGCTGGAAGAGGAGCAGCCAAGAGTAGAACCAGCACCCATATGGGATGCGGGCACAGCAGGCAGAGGATTAACCTACTGTGCCATGTGCAGCCCCACGCTGATCTAAAAAAGTTAATGAGCGTGCGTGCTCACTAGCTATCCTCGCCTGCGTGCAGCACACCAGGTCTAGTCCTGGTCGGGCACAGATTCTGTCCCGGTGCCCCTCTCCAGACCAGCTCTCTGCTGTGGCCAGGGAGTGCAGTGGAGGATGGCCCAAGTACTTGGGCCCTGCACCCCATGGGAGACCAGGATAAGTACCTGGCTCCTGCCTTTGGATCAGCGCGATGCACCGGCCGCGGCGGCCATTGGAGGGTGAACCAATGGCAAAAGGAAGACCTTTCTCTCTCTCTCACTGTCCACTCTGCCTGTCAAAAAAAAAAAAAAAAAAAAAAAAGTTTAATTGAGCATTCAATTCTGTTTATAGGGACCAGTGCTGTGGCTCAGCAAGTTAAATCTGCAGCCTGCAGCCCCAGCATCCCATATAGGTGCTGGTTCAAGTCCCAGTTGCTCCACTTCTGATCCAGCTCCCTGCTAATGGTGGGGAAGCAGTGGAAGATGGCCCAAGTCCTTAGGCCCCTGCACCTGAATGGGAGACCTGGAGGAAGATCCTGGCTCCTGGCTTTAGATCAGCACAGCTCCGGCTGTTGCAGCCATATGGGGAGTGAACCATCGATGGAAGACCTCTCTACCTCTGCCTCTCTGTAACTCTGCCTTTCAAATAAAAAAAAAAATCCATGTGATTTTCTTTAAAAAATTTATTTATTTACTTGAGAAGCAGAGTTACAGAGAGGGAAAGACAGAGAGAGGTCTTCCATCCACTGGTTTATACCCCAAATACCTGCAACAGGCCACGAGTTGGGCCAATCCAATGCAGGGGCCCAAGCACTTGGACCCTCTTCTGCTGCTTTCCCAGTCATTAGCAGGGAGCTGGATCAGAAGTGGAGCAGCCGGCACATGAACCAGCACCCATATGGGATGCCTATAGTGCAGGTGAGGCTTAGCCTACTGTAACACAGCGCCAGCTCCATATCAGTGGATTTTTAAAATGCTTATATAAGCATCTTCATAGTTTTCAAACTATGAATGGGATCATCCCCTATACACCTTTTTTATAAAAGTTATTAATCTGAGAGGAAGAGAGAGAAAAAGGAGAAGAAAGAGCGGTCCCATCCACAGACTCACTCCCCAGATGCTCACGATGGCCCAGAGTGGGCCAGACTGAAAGCAGGCGCTGGAAACTCAACCCAGGCCTCCCAATTACTTGAGCCATCACCACTGCCTTCCAGGGGCCCCATTGGTGGGAAGCTGGAATCAGGAGGTGGAGCCAGGTGTGGAACCCAGGCACTCTAAGATAGGAAATGGACAACTTAACCAGCGTCTTTTATACCTTTTATGTTTCACATTAAATATATAGCCGGAACGTCTTAAGTATATTTTTCATTTTTAATAACTCTATAGTGTTTCATTACATGTTGTGTGCCACAATATATGTGTTGTCCATGTGGTAGATATTTAGGTTGGTTGTGAGCTTTTACTTGTATACACAACTTTGTTCCTTCACTGTTTCTTTGAAATGGGTTCCTAGAAGCACAGTTGCTGGGTTGAAGACTGAATTCTGAGCATTTCAGTTGTTAATGGCCAAAATACCAAGTTAGCAAAATTGCATGCAGTCAACAGAGGGTGAGCCCCCATAACTCCAGTAGTGAGATGGCTCCTAGTAGCAAGCTGAAGAAAAAACTTTCTTTTTAAAAAAGATTTACTTATTTTCTTGAAAGGCAGAGTTAGAGAGAGAGAGAGAGAGAGAGAGATTTTCTACCCATTGGTTCACTCTCCAAAAGACCTCAAATGGCCAGGGCTGCGCCAGGCAAAAGCCAGAAGCCAGGAGCTTCATCTGGGTCTCATGTGGGGTCAGCATCTTCCACTGCTTTCCCAGGTGCATTACCACGGAGCTGGACAGGAAGTGGAGCAGCTGGGACTCAAACTGGCGCCCATATGGCATGTTGGCGCTGCAGGCAGCGAATAAACCCGCTGTGCCACAGTGCCAACCCCTAAAGTTTCAGTTTTTTAAGAAGAAAAGCCCGTATTTTCATTTTCTGAATTATTTGATAATATTACTTATCCACTTTCATTAGGATTTATTACTTTTATTGATATATGATCATCCTTTAAATGTTAAAGATATTGATGCTTTGGAAAGAAGTTTTTTGCAGTCTATGTCTTTATTTTTCCGCGTCTTTTGCCTTAGACAAGGGTTTGTTATGGTTGTTGTTGGGTGCTGAGTGGGAGTTTTTACTACTAGATGAGACCCAGCACAGCGGTAACATTACTGCACGGGGTTCCAGATGGAAAATCTGTAGTGGGTATTGGAGGGCTCAGAGGCCCCACGAGGAAAGCACAGTGCGGAGCGCTGCTGAGCGCCCAGCCGTTCCCACTCCTCGCGAATGTTGTGGAGCTCTGGAGTCACTTCTGTGCCGCAGGGCCAGCCCTGTCGATCTTTTGTCTTCCAAGTTTTCCTAGCTGCTAAGTTTCCATTTTTATTTATTTATTTGAAATGCAGAGAGAGAGAGACATAGTAGAGGAAAAATTCCAATCTGCTGATTCACTTTCCAGATGTTTGCAGTAGCCAGGGCTGGGTCAAAGCCAGGAACTAAGAACTCCATCCGTGTCTCCCACATGGCTGGCAGGGACGCAAGCAATTGAGCCATCACCTGCTGCCTCTCAGGGTGCACAGTAGCAGGAAGCTGGAATCAGGAGCAGAGCCAGGCCTCGGGCCAGGCGCGTCAATGTCAGATACTAGCAAACCAAGCAGCACCAAATGCCCACCCCATGTTCCAAGTTTTTGTATCATGTTTCTTTTATTATTATTATTTTATTATTTATTTATTTGAAAGTCAGAGTTACACACAGAGAGAATGAGAGGCAGAGAGAGAGAGAGAGAGAGTCTTCCATCTGCTGTTTCACTCCCCAGTTGGCCACAATGGCTGGAGCTACACTGATCCAAAGCCAGGAGCCAGGAGCTTCTTCTGGGTCTCCCACGCAGGTGCAGGGGCCCAAGCACTTGGGCCATCTTCTACTGCTTTCCCAGGCCATAGCAGAGAGCAGGATTGAAAGTGGAGCAGCTGGGACATGAACCAGCACCCGTATGGGATGCTGGCACTGCAGGCAGCAGCTTTACCCACTACACAACAACACTGGCCCCATATCATATTTCTAAAGGCCTTTCCGACATGAGATTATTCAGGATGATTCTGTATTTTCTTCGTATACCCTTATGGTGTTTATATATGTGCTTTTTTAGTATTTAAAACTTTTTAAATATATTCAAGAAGCAGAGAGACAGAGACAGGGACACACAGAGAAAGATCTCATGTCTGCTTTCCCACTCCTCAAGTGCCTGCAATAGTTGGGGTTGGGCCAGGCCAAAGCCAGGTTTTCCACATGGGTGGCAGGGACCCTGGTACCTGAGCCCACTTGCTGCCTCTCAGGACATGTGTTAGAGGGATGCTGAAATCAGAAGCACAATTGAGATATGAATCCAGGATCTCTGATATAGGATGTTGGCACCTCCAGATGGCGATTTAACCCCTGCACCAAATGTTTGCCCCACCTGTAAAAATTTTTTTTTGTTTAAGATTTATTTATTTATTTGAATGGCAGAGTTAGAAGGAGAGACAGGGAGAGACAGAGAGACAGAGATCTTCCATCTGCTAGTTCACTCTCCAAGTGGCTACAACAGCTGGTGCTGGGCCAGGAACTTCCTCCAGGTCTCCCAGGTAGGTGCAGGGACCCACGTACTGGGAACAGCTTCTGCTGCTTTCCCAGGTGCATTAGCAGGGAGCTGGATCAGAAGTGGAGCAGCCAGGACTCCAACCAGCACTCACATGGGCTGCTGGCATCGCAGGAGGCGGCTTAACCTGCTGCACCACACACACAGTCTCCTAAAGAAATTTTTGGTGTCAAATATGAGGTAGGGACCCACATTATTTGTTTTCTCTGTGGACAGAGATGTTATAGCTTTATTTAACAATAAGGGAATCGCATGGGGTGGGATTTGGAAAATGAACCCCCAGATGGAAGATCTGTGTCTTTGACTTTGAAATAGTAAATAAATAGGGGCCAGGGTTGTGGCATAGTGGGTAAAGCCGCCGCCTGCAGTGCCAGAATCCCATATGGACACTGGTTCAAGTCCTGTCTGCTCCACTTCCAATCCCGCTCTCTGCTATGGACTGGGAAAGCAGAAGATGGCCCAAGTCCTAGGGCCCTGGCACTCATGTGGGAGACCCAGAAGAAGCTCTAGGCTCCTGGCTTTGGATCAGCACAGCTCCGGCCGTTGCGGCCAACTGGGGAGTGAACCTGCAGATGGAAAACCTCTCTGTCTGTAACTCTGCCTTTCTAATAAATATATTAACATTTAAGCTAAATAAATAAATAAACCAACAAAGCCCTGATGTGTCTATCAGGCAGCAGATCTCTCCCCAGGGAAACACCTGTTGCTCACGTCCTCTGCCTCTGAGAACCCTGGACCAGCAGGACCGCCCAGGAGGGCCCCTTTGCTTTTGTTCCCTAGGACCTTCGAGGGAAGATCCTGGTGAAGGGGAAGAAGTTGACACTGGAGGAGGAACTTGAGGACAAGGAAGAGGCAGAGAGTGTGCTGGAAACAGGGCAGGGGTCGGAGCTGGAGACCAACTGCCACTCTGAGATTGAGCTGCCCCCCAAGAAGAACAGGAAGGGGAAGAAGGTAGGTTGGGAGTGGGTGTGCTGAGTGGGAGCCGGCAGTGAGGTTAGAGCCAGGCAGGGCGGAGGGCCAGGGGCACAACAACTCTTCCTTCCACTGACAGGTGGAAGTGTGCATGCATGGAGTCACTGTGTATTATATGAACTGGGTTATGTTAACGTATAGAGACACAGCGCAACGGCTTTCCAACTTTGGGGGCCATGAACGCCTTTCCTATAGGTGCAATCTTACATATTGGAAGCTTACTAAACAAAAGAGGTAAATGCAGAACCATCTTCGTTGAAGCACCCATTTGGCTTTCTCCTGGGTCCCCTGGGTGATTCCTGAGCTGTCTTTTTTTTTTTTTTTTTTTTTTTTTTTGACAGGCAGAGTGGACAGTTAGAGAGAGAGAGACAGAGAGAAAGGTCTTCCTTTGCCATTGGTTCACCCTCCAATGGCCGCCACGGCCGGCGCACCGCGCTGATCCGAAGGCAGGAGCCAGGTGCTTCTCCTGGTCTCCCATGGGGTGTAGGGCCCAAGCACTTGGGCCATCCTCCACTGCACTCCCGGGCCACAGCAGAGAGCTGGTCTGGAAGAGGGGCAACCGGGACAGAATCCGGCACCCCGACCGGGACTAGAACCTGGTGTGCTGGCGCCGCTAGGTGGAGGATTAGCCTATTGAGCCATGGCGCCGGCCCCTGAGCTGTCTTGGTACTCCTTGGTCTCCAGTTTGTGAAATGGATGGTTGTGTGTGTGTGTGTGTGTGTGTGTGCAGCTTTATTATATTAAGTAAGGGATAGGTGAATGACTGCTGTGACTGCCACTACCATGGGTTTAATTAAAGAAAATTTCTTAGAAAAGCGGGCCTTTGAGGAAGAGACCAGAGATAGCCTAGGAGGAAGAGGATGGGGAGGAGCTTTGGGGTGGGCAGGCTGTGCAGGTGGTGGGGGCTGGTCTCCCCGTGGGAGGGGGGCAGAGGGAGGACAGGCGGCAGTGGCGGGAGCCCGCAGCGCTCCCCCTGGTGCACCTGCTTGGCTCACGCAGCTGACTGCTGGCTTAGCTCGCTTTGTGGTGTCTTTCCTGCCTCAGTGTCCAGGGATGGGAACTGGGAATTCAGGAAACAAATCCAGATGCCCTCTGGGACTCATGTTCACCTGGGTGTGACCTCCTCACTATTGTGCATAGCTTGATTCATCTGTCTCAATTGATTTTGACCGGATTATCATTTGGTTGTTCTAAAAGAAGAGAGGTAGAAGGGCCGATGCCTCTCTGTTGACAAAGAGGAACAGCTTTAAAACCTGCTGCCCAGGAAGTGACGTAGCACACTCGCCCAAGCCCAGAGGTGCAGATGGAGCCCAGCACTAGACACCGAGGCCTTTATTCCCACTCCCACCCCCAGGCTGCGCTGTGCCCGTCGTTTTGTCCTGCTGTCTGTTGTCAGAGTGAGGCGCAGGCTGCTGTTTGCGATCCTGGGGCCCCTCCCGTGTCCGAGCAGGTGAGGCGGGAGGGAGAATGCAGCGGGGGCAGTGGGCACAGGCTTAGCAGGGGTGGCCATTAGCTTCGTCACTTTCAGACTACCAAGGCGTCAAGTCCATGCGCCTTTGCACTGTCTCCTCCAGAAATCCAAGCCCATCCTGTGTCCGGACCTGTCGGCCCTGGTTGTCTACTTGCAATCCGTCTCCTTCCACAGCTTCACGCACTCCAAGGAGAACTACCACTTCTATGAGATGTCGTCCTTCTCGGAAAGCAAGGCCAGGAACCTCATCAAGGACGCCGGTCAGCATCGAAAGGGAGGGCCGAGGAGGGACGCAGGGTGGCTGGGCTCAGGCCTGCTGCGGAGGCAGGCCAGTCCCAAGAAAGAAGGCAAGGGAGCTAGGGAGAGATGAAGGAGCTGAGAGGTGGGCAAGGCAGGGGAGCTTAGGAAGAGTGGGCTCAGGCTGGAGTGGGGGGAAGGCTGGGAGGCTGCGCAGAGGGGCCCACTGGGGAGGCTCCACCCCCACCCCAAGCCCCTCCCACTCACCCTTTTATAGGCAATGAGTTTGTGCAGCACAATGCCTGGCAGTTAAGCCGTGTGTACCCCAGTGGCCTGAGGACGGACTCATCCAACTACAACCCCCAGGAACTCTGGAACGCTGGCTGCCAGATGGGTGAGGGGCAGCAGGTGCGGGCGGGCGGGAGCACCTGGCAGGAAATGGGGTGCTGGGCTGAGAAAGGCACCGTCTACCGGGTGGTGCCAGCAGGCACTCTTCTTCCCAACACTGTCTTTTATTGTGTGTGTGTGTTTAAAGATTTTATTTATTTGAAAGCCAAAGCAAGAGAGAGTGAGAGTAAGAAAGAGAGGGAGAATCTTCCAAGTCTCCCCAAATGGCCACAACAGCCAGGGCTGGGCCAGGCTGAAGCCAGAAGGGAGGACCTCCATCGAGGTCTCATGTGGGTGCAGCAGCTCAAGGACTTGGGCCGCCTCCTCTGCCTCCCCAGGCGCATTAGTAGGAAGCCAGATCAGAAGCAGAGCTGCTGGGACCCGGGCCAGCACCCCAGTGTGGCATGCCTGCTGCAGTGGTGGTCCGACCTGCTGCACGGCGACACCGGCCCCCAACGCCTGTCTCCTTAACTCAGCGTGGCTGAAGGCCTCCAAGACGAATCTCTCTTTTCTCCTGGGCCCCTCAGTGGCTATGAACATGCAGACTGCGGGGCTGGAAATGGACATCTGTGATGGGCTCTTCCACCAGAACGGCGGCTGTGGCTACGTGCTGAAGCCCGAATTCCTGCGTGATACCCGGAGTTCCTTCCACCCAGAGAGGCCCATCAGCCCACTCAAGGCCCAGACCCTCTTAGTCCAGGTATGGTGGAAAGAGGACCCACTGGGAAGAGCCTGGGATAGCGAGGAGAGAAGCAGGGGTGGCAGGGGTGGGGAAGGGCGGCAGGGCCTGACGAGGGTGTCCTGAATTCAAGAACCTCGAGAGAGGCAGCAATGGTTATGGCACAGATGTGGGAGCCAACTGCCTGGCTTCAAACCCACTTCTGAGCTCTGTGACGCTGCGGAAGTTCTTAACCGCTGGGTTCCTCAGTAGGCTCACGTGCGACACGGGGGAGGACACCACTGGCACCCCTCCAGGTGCAGGTAAAGGCTTCCAACTCCTGGCGTGCAGTCAGCGCCGGAGTCCGGCTGCCCTCCTTAGCGTGCCTACTTCCAAACCGCATTGCATTTCCACTTGGATGCATTTTCAGTCGCAGATTGAATTACTAGAAGGAAATGCAGTACCCAACGGAGGATTAGTTTTGCAAACCAAAATCTAAAAAGTGCAAAGTGAGAGGGTGAAGTCGGGGGGCTGGGCTGCGCAGGAACTTGTGAGGGTCCAGCGCCTTGGTTGCAGGTGATCAGTGGTCAGCAACTCCCTAAAGTGAATGAGAACAAAGAGAAATCCATCGTGGATCCACTGGTCAAAGTGGAGATCTTTGGCGTCCGTGCAGATACAACCCGGCAAGAGACCAGCTACGTGGAGAACAATGGTGAGAGCCCGGCATGCTACGGAGGTGGTGAGGACGTGGCCGCTGTTTTCCTCCTGACTTCTCCCCGTTCAGCACGGTCCCTGTCACCGCCCCCATTCCCCACCCTCACCCTCACCTTAGCTAGGCAGTGGGGAACCAGACAAAGCATCGGGCTTCCCGCTCTGACTCAGAACACAGCTCGCCTCTTCTAAGCCTCAGCTGTTTCACCCATAAAATCCCAACTGCTATCTGGCTTAACTGAAAGTACAGGGGAAGCAGCCCACGGGGCCTGAGGCAGTCAGTCACGTCGGTCACACACTGCCTCCCACCCCCACGGCAGGTTTCAATCCTTACTGGGGGCAGACGCTGTGCTTCCGGGTCCTGGTGCCTGAACTCGCCATGGTGCGTTTTGTGGTCAAGGATTACAACTGGAAATCCCGACACGACTTCATTGGTCAGTACACCCTGCCCTGGACCTGCATGCAGCAAGGTGAGCCAGCCCTGCAGCCCCGGCCAGGACCCCCCTCTGCCTGCCTTCTTAAAGCCGTCCTCCTGGCCCTCCCCAGGCTACCGCCACATACACCTGCTCTCCAGGGACGGCACCAGCCTCCACCCAGCGTCCATCTTCGTCTACATCTGCATCCTGGAAGGCGTGGAATCCTGAGCGGGACACGTCATGGCCAGAGTGGGTACGCGCCCTTTAGGTGGTGACAGAACGCTGCACGATGCTCCAGAGAGCAATGGAGGGGCGCACACCCAGCTCTGGATCGTGCACTCCAGGCGCAACATGACCTCGCCCTTCCTAACAAGCACGTCCAGGACGCGATGTTTCACCTCTTGCCTCTCCATCTCCTTGCTTTAAGCCTTTGGCGTCTTTCCCGCCCTTTCCCTTTGTGTGCTCTCTCCTGGAGTCCCCTCCTTCCTCTTGCTGTAGGCGCACTCCCAGACCCGGATCCATGACGAATCTCTGGTGCAAAGGCAGATTGCAAGTAGAAAGCCAGGGAGGGGCCTGCGGCAGAGAGACCTGAAGACGCACTACCCGCTCCAGCCGACTTGCTCACAGCTCAGCGTCAAAGGCAAGACAGATCAAGGCTGCAGTCTCCCCGAGCAGCCTGGAGGGGACTTCACCCCAGGGCTGTACCGTGACTCTCAGGAGTCCCCGCTGGACTGCTCCCCCTTAGCTCCACTGGTATTAATAAGAGCTTCTCTCTCCAGTTTGGCTCTGAGTATAGTCTGTCTTCGTTGGGTAAGACGGGTTGGGAGATCCTCTTTAATTTTCCCAGTGTGTCCCCGTTTAGAAGGCCAATGACACAGTGAGGTACTACAGAATTGCAGCCTGAGGCACGCACACAATTCAGAACTGGACATTTCCTGCCATGATCATCTGCCACTCCAGCACCCTGGGGCTTCCACTGTGAACCTGCCATGGACGATGCCGAGTTACAGCGGCTCCCAGGAGGCTCTGTGGCTGCCCATCCTCCCTCTACAGCAGACAAAGGGGCCTGCGAGCAGGGAGCAAGGCAAGAGCAGGGCCGGGCTCAAGGACCGGGAGCAGCAGACCTGGGTGTGTTAGAGGGCCGTCACTGAGGGAATATGGACAGGGACAAAGGAGAGCAGGGGTCTGAGCCGGGGGCACCGACCAACATGGCAGCCTGGGAAGGCTGAGACCCGGATTCAGACGCGTCTAAGAGCCAGCACGGATTCGCTGCTTCACATGCTTTATAGAGCACCGGGCACAACCGTACATGCGGGTGGGTACAGCGGTTTTGCAACGCTGAAAGAAAACAGGAACTTGACACAGTAAGAAGGAAGAGGTGAGTGAATAAAACCAAGATCTCAGTCAGGGCCTTTGCTGGAGACGGCGAAGAAACTGGGAACTCACCGGCCCTCAACGAGAAGGCACTGTCGTGGCCGTGTCCCTCTCTCACACCGCTGTTCACTTCAGTGTCCCAGGAGGGCGACAGTCACCCCAGTGCCCCAGAGCCGTCCCCCCTGAGGCCGGGGGCGCCCCAGGCTGGTTCTGGCCTCAGCTCGCACATCTTGGAGCACAGCCACCTGGGAGGCAGGGAAGTCTCAGCCCTCGGGTCCCGTGGGCGGCGCGGCAGGAGCAGGAGGGGTGGGGTCCTCCAGCTTCACATCGTGCAGGTGCACCGTGGGGGTGGTGGGGTCCTTGCCCACACCCTGGCTGGGGTCCGCCTGGTCAGGGTGGTGCCTGCGCACGTGCTTGACCACCTGGAACTTCTGCTTGGCCTTGTAGCTGCAGAGGCGGCAGAAGAAGGGGTGGCGGTCGGTGTGGGTGAGGGCGTGATGGCGCAGGCCGGCAGCCCAGCGGAAGGCGCGGTGGCACACGTTGCACACGTAGGGTTTGGCCTCGCTGTGCTTGCGGAGGTGCGTGCGCAGCAGGAAGCGAGTCTTGAAGGCCTTGCCGCACTGCTCGCACATGAAGGCCCGGGCTTCGCGGTGCCGTGTCTCGCGGTGCACGCGGAGCGCGTCGGCCCGGTTGGTGCAGTATTCACACTCGGGACACCGGTATGGCTTTAGTCCTACAGGATGGATGACAAACCACCATTGGCGGGGGTGGAACCCGGGTCAGCAGGCCAGTAGGATATCCATGATACAAGGAGCAAGCTGACTAAGCGCATCTTTGGAACATTCCAGTCCCGTCTGGCATTTCACTGCCTTTCTCCCAACTCAGCCCCTTGAAAACATCAGCGCTCACAGCTGTACCTGTAACCAACTAGCTACCCTGACAGTAATGAATACTCAAGTACTGTAGGGTTTCCAAGTGGGAAACTCCGATCCTCTTTCAGTCATGGGATTCCCACGGGATTTGAGAATCTTCAAACACAGCCCTTTGTTCAACTCAAAAAGTGAAAGAAGATGCTTAAGAGCGAAGGGGTGGACTGAAAGCAGCAGTCCTCACAGAAGCAGAGCGAGCCGAAACGCATCTGATTTCTCTACATGGGGGACGGTGTGCAGTAACCGCGGCCAGAGACCCAGTCACCCTTGGCCGAGAACCCGTAGTCTGTGGACTGCATGCCCACGACACGGAGAGGGGAGTTCTGCTTCCTCCGCCTCACTCCTGACAGTTCCGTCCTGTCTGTGTAGCAGCCAGGGCTGGGGGCTCCCGGCGCGGGGCGCGGGACCTTGTACCGCAATCACCCGGCAGCTCTTGCAAAGCTCCCATTGCACAGGCTCAGTTCTGGCAAGTCTCTGGGGGCTGGGAAGCCACCTTGGTACACACTCCCCCAGCCTGCCCCCATGCCCGCGGGAAACGCAGCGCCAGCCTGACTGAGCAGGGACGGACACCGCTGCAGCGAGCTGGCTCTTCCCGGGAGCGGGAGCCGCTCGGGCGCTCACCTGTGTGCTTGGTCATGTGGTACTTGAGCTGGTTGACCCACTTGCACTTGTAGCCACACTCAGGGCACAGGTACTTCCGTTCCTCCTTGTGGATCCTCATGTGGTACTGCGAGAGGGAAGAGCAACAGGCAGAGAGACTTGGCGGTAACTCTGACCTGCTCCTACCCTAGCCACGGTTCCCGCACCACCCAGGTCTTCCCGTCTGCCACCTGGATAGCAGCCCAACCCAGCTGACCTCACTGACTAGTTCAGCTGTGCCACTTACTGTGTACGTGGACCACACAGCACCTAATTCTCCACCCACTGATCTGTAAAATGGGGAATGGAAGAGTACATGCATCTGGGGGCCTAGGTTAAGCCTTCACGTGGGACACCAGCATCCCCTATCAGAGTGCTGGTTCAAGTCCCGGCTGCTCTGCTTCTGATCCAGCTCCCTGCTAATGTGCCTGGGAAGGCAGCAGATGGTCCAGGTGCTTGGGACTCTGCCACTCACGTGGGAGACCCAGACAGACTTCCTGGTCCCTGCTTTAGCCTGGCCCAGTCCTGGCTGGTGTGGCCACCTAGGGGAGAGACCAGTGGATGGGAGATACCTGTCTGTCTCTCTCTCTCTGTCACACTGCCTTGCAAATGAATAAATCTTTTTTTTTTAAAGTAACCTTATCTCATTTTTTTAATTAATTAATTAATTAATTAATTTTGACAGGCAGAATGGACAGTGAGAGAGAGAGACAGAGAGAAAGGTCTTCCTATGCCGTTGGTTCACCCTCCAATGGCCACCGCGGCTGGCGCGCTGCGGCCGGCGCACCGCGCTGATCCGATGGCAGGAGCCAGGTACTTCTGGTCTCCCATGGGGTGCAGGGCCCAAGTACTTGGGCCATCCTCCACTGCACTCCCTGACCACAGCAGAGAGCTGGCCTGGAAGAGGGGCAACCGGGACAGAATCCGGTGCCCCGACCGGGACTAGAACCCGGTGTGCCGGCGCCGCAAGGCGGAGGATTAGCCTAGTAAGCCGCGGCGCCGGCTCACCTTATCTCATTTTTGAAAGGATCAAAATTATGATGCCAGGCACATAGAGCTAAATAAATGTTAGCTGTTAGTATCCAGATTATTCCCAACCTATTATAAACTTTTTTGTGTGTGACAGATTTATTTATTGGAAAGTCAGTACTACAGAGAGAAGGAGAGACAGAGAGGTCTTTATCCACTAGTTTACTTCCCAGATGTCCTCAACAGCCAGTGCTGGGCCAGGCCAAAGCCAAGACTCAGGAGCTTCTTCTGGGTTTCCCATGTGGGTGGCAGGGGACCAAACACTTGAGCCATCTTCTGCTGCTTTTCCCAGGCCACTAGCAGGGAACTGGACGGGAAGCAGAGCAGCTGGGACATGAACCAGGGCCCATAAGAGATGCTGGTGTCACAGGCGGTGGCCTTACTTGCTGTGCCACAACGCCAGACCCGATTATAAACCCGATCACATGGCAAGCACAGCCGTGGGATTTTATCCCCACAACAACCCTATGAAGCTGGAATACTCTCCCGTTTGTACGGATGAGGTAGCTCAGCCTTGGAGAAGTCAGGAACTTGCCCAAAGCTACAGAGCTAGTACTTGGAAGAGTCAGGACGAGAGAAGCCAGGCGGCTCGACTCCAGCACCTGCACCCCCACAGCCCCTGCCCTTACCTTGAGGCGGGAGGGGTCGGCACAGGCATAGGAGCAGAGGTGACAGTGGTAAGGCTTCTCCCCGGTGTGGATGCGGCTGTGCCAGGTGATCTTCTGCCGGTTCTTGGTGCTGTAAGCGCAGTCGGTGCACTTGTAGAGCCGCGTGCCCCCGTGCCCTTTCATGTGGTGATCTAGCACCAGCTGATGGCGGCACGCAAAGTCACAGAAGGGACAGCGCAGAGGGGGCTGGCCGCCGTCCCCAGCCGCCTCCGCGGCCGCCTCGTGCTGCTCCAGGTAGTGCTTTACCAGGCCCACCCGCTCCCGGGCGGCGAAGTCACAGAGCTGGCAGCGGTGGCTGAAGTGCTGCTGCCTCCGGTGCTCGTCCAGGGCGGGCCGGCTGGGGAAGGCTTCCTGGCAGGCCCCGCACTGCAGCCGCGGGTGCTGCTTCCGGGTGTGTCCCCGCAGGCTGGCGGGGCTGGGGCACAGCAGCCCGCAGCGGGGGCAGTGCAGGGGCCCTTCGGTGGCCTCTGCGGGAGAGCCCGGGGCGGGGTGGGTGGGCTCCGGGTGCCGGCGCAGGGCGTGCTGCTTCAGTGCGGTCTCGGAGCTGAACTGGGCCTCGCACTGGGAGCAGGCAAAGGCTGGGGTGCCCTGGTGGCAGCTGTTGACGTGGCGAGTGATGTCGTGGCGAAGGTAGCCGCTGTAGTCGCAGAGTGGGCAGAAGTGGGTGGGCGTCTTGTCGTGTACCCTGAGCCGGTGCAGGCGCAGTTTGGAGTTGGTGCCGAACGTCTGGGGGCAGGAGCTGCAGGGGATGCGGCCGACCCCTGTGTGCCGGGACTGGTGGGCCTCCAGGCGGTAGCGCCGGGTGGTGGAAAAGTCGCAGAACGGGCACTGGTGCGGCTTCACGCCCTCGTGCTTGAGCCGCCGGTGCTGCTGCAGGCAGCGGCTCTGCTTGCAGGTGAAGCCGCAGTCCCCGCACTGCAGGGGGGGCCGCGGGCCGCGCGCCGGGGCCGCCGTGGGGTGTTTCCGCTTCTGGTGGAGCCGCAGGGCACCAGCGGCGGCAGCCGTGAAGGGGCAGAGGCCACAGCGCAGCTCTCGGGATTCCCCGAGCGGGCAGCCCCGCGTCTGGTGAGTCCGCAGAGCCCGCTCCTGCCGGCAGCTGAAGGGACACGTGGGGCAGGAGAAGCGGGCCCCCTTCTGCTTCTGCGCCGCGGCTGTGTCTCCAGCCCCGGGGCCGGGCTCTGGAGCGCCGCCGGGCAGGGGAGCAGAGGCTGTGTGGCTCGAAGGCGACGGCACAGGCTGGGTCGGGGGCGGCCCTCGCTTTGCACCCCCACCTCGACCCCCACGGCAGCCTTCGGCCACGTGAGAGGTGATGGAGGAGAGCCGAGAGCACAGGAACGCGCAGGAGTTGCAGTGAAACTTGCCCTGCTCAAAGCGGAACTTCTCAGGGGCCTCCGGGGAGCAGGGCTTCCCCACGGCAGGGCCCGGCGCGCCGCACGCTGCGGCAGGAGCTGCCCGTGTCTCCTCCGGCTCCCCGGCCGCGTCAGGAGGGGCATCTTTGGGGAGCAGGAGCTCCACCTGTAAGGACGCGGGGCTGGGCCTCCCACCTCCCGCGTCCTCCGCGGCACACGTGCCCGGCAGCAGAGAACGCACAGGGCTGGCACGGTCTGATCCGGGCACGGCCTTGTTCTTCCGGAGCAGCACGGGGCACTTCTTGAGCAGGTGGGTGCTGAGGCCACGTTGCTGCTTGAAGCTGGCCCCACACTCGGGGCACAGCAGGGGCTCGCGGCGGCCCTGGCAGCCCGTCCTGGAGTGCAGACTCAGGGCCTTCTCGCGCCGGGTGACGAAGGGGCAGTGGGGGCAGCGGAAGGCCCGCCCCTCTCCCTGGATCACCACCATCTGCACGCGCCCCTCCAGCACCAAGGCCTCTGCTTGCTCTTTGTCCTGCCTCCGCAGGGCCTTGAGCAGCGACTCCGACTCAGGCAGCTGGGGCAAGGCCGCTGTCTCGGCGGGCAGGGTGGCCTTGAAGGTGTCTACCCAGCTATGAGGCACCTCCTCTGAGGACGGAGGAGTTCTTGGGGGCTCAGGGACTGACTTCTCCCCAACGGGCTCTTCTTCAGCACCTAAGCCAGAAGTCCCGACACCTTCAAAGCTGGGCAGCTCTGGCCCTCCCACGGCCAGCGGCCTGAACTCCACGGGGGCTGTTTCAGTCATCTCCTCCAGGGGTGGCACGGCCACGGGGTCCAGCTCTACTCCCAGGGCCTCCAGGTGCAGGGTGCAGCTGCCCTCGTCCACCTCTGCTGGGCTGGGGCTGCCCACCAGGTGGTCCTGATGGGGAGCCTCGTCCTGCCTCCTGGCGCTGAGCTCCTCATTTGTCTCTGGCAAAGGCTGGTCCAAGCTGGGGTCTGCCGAGGTGCCAGGTTCGTGGCCCGGCCCCTCCAGCTGGGCAGACGGCTGACTGGAGTGCTCTGCGTCTGGTGGCGGTGTCGGGCACTGCTTGGCCCCCTCTGGCTCTTGGCTGGCGTAGCGGAGCTGCCAGACCTGGTCCCCAGGCACGTAGCCGTGGGCTTTGCGCTTGTGGAAGAAGAGGGTGGTGTTGCTGAAGGTGCGGTAGTCACAGAGGGCGCAGCGGAACTCGCGCAGGTGCGTGTGCTTGCAGTTCTCGTGGCTCAGCAGCGCCTGCTTGTGGCGGCTCTGGTAGCTGCAGTAGCGGCAGGGGTAGAGCGGGGCCGGCGCGCCAGGGTGGTGCTGGGAAGCCATGTGCTTCTGCAGCTCGTACTTGCGCTTGCAGGCGAAGGCGCACACCTCACACATCAGGGACTTGCCCTGGTGCCGCAGCTTGTGGCTGCTCAGCTGATCGGCGCGGTGGCAGCGGTAGGAGCACTGGTCGCACTGGTACCTGGCAAGGAGGGCAAGAAGGGGCCACCGTCGCGGTGCAGCAGCCACAAGTGACAAGGCACACAGGCTGCCCGCGGCCAGGCTCTGCGCTCAGCACCGCACACGCCCCTCCAATTCAGCCACTGCCCCAAGAAACGGGTACCGACCTCACAAGCGAGGAGACTAAGGCGGAGTCGGTGACGGGACGTGAGGGCCTGTGTTCTAACCCCTGCTCTACGCGGCTTCCCAAAGGAGAGCAGTCATGAGTCAGCTTGCCCCACGTGGACGTCTGAGGCACCGACAGGGCTCCAGGCCTACGTCCCACTCCTACCGAGGCCTCAGGCCAGAGAAAAGTCTCCACCAGCTGTGTGTACGGCTGGAGAACCTGCCCGATTCGGCAGGGCCAGGTCTGAGGACCTAAGTGTGCAGCCTCTCCACTTTCCTGCGACCGGAATCGGAGCACTCAAGTGACAGTCCCTTCCCTGGGCCCAGGTACAGAGGCGGCCCAGGCAGTGGGGCCGAGAAGGGGAGGCCTGGAGAAGGCAGCGGGGCCAGCCGCTGGCTCCAGGAGGGTGCCGGCTCGGCACAGGGTCCCTAGGCTGGGGAGGGAGCGCGGGTGTGGCCGTACCTGAGGTCCCCTGCGTGTTTGCGCATGTGCACGCTGAGGTAGTGCTTCCACTTGGTGACGTAGCCACATTCGGTGCACATGTAGTCCTTGGTGTTGGAGTGGGTCAGCATGTGCTTGGACAGGTAGCTCACGTCGCGGCAGGTGAAGTCACAGAGCTCGCACTTGTGAGGTTTCTCGCCTTGGATGGGGTGGGGACGAGAGGGCAGAGAAGCCAGGTCAGACAGACGAGCTGCGTGGCCAGCAAGCCCACCCTGGTGCGGGCAGGAGCACGAGCTGCCTGGGATCGCTGAGGGGCTGAGTGCTTGACCTGTCCAGGCCACCTCGCTGCCCTCTCACACAGCCGCTCCCCCGGGAGAGGGGCAGAGAGCAGAGGCGGAGCTTTTCCAAACCAGCCCTTAAGTCCACCCTCGCTCTGCTGTTCAGCCTGTTGGCACTTAGAGCCACCGCTCCCCCTGCCACAATTCCTTCTGGTTTTCTGTTAGGCAACAGAACATACTGCTTAAGAACTCTGATGGGGGGAGGGGGCAGTGTTGTACAGCGGGTTAAGTCTCTGCTTGTGAGTCCGAGTGCCAGTTTGAGTCCTGGGCATTCTGCTTCCAATCTAGCCTCTAAATCACGACCTGGGAAGGCAGTTCATGGTGGCCCAAGTCACCACCACCAGCCATCCATGTGGGAGACCAGGATGGAGCTCTGGGCTCCTGGCCTAGCCCTGGCTGTTATAGCCGTTTACAGAGTGAACCAGCAGGTACAAGATCCCCCTCTCCCCCTCTCTGTCACTCTGCTTTTCAAATGAATGAATGAATCTTAAAAAACAAACCCAGGGCCAGCGCCGTGGCTCAATAGGCTAATCCTCCGCCTGCGGCGCCAGCACACCGGGTTCTAGTCCCGGTCGGGGCGCCGGAGTCTGTCCTGGTTGCCCCTCTTCCAGGCCAGCTCTCTGCTGTGGCCAGGGAGTGCAGTGGAGGATGGCCCAAGTGCTTGGGCCCTGCACCCGCATGGGAGACCAGGAGAAGCTCCTGGCTTCGGATCAGCGCGATGCGCTGGCCGCAGCGCGCTGGCTGCGGCAGCCATCGGAAGGGTGAACCAACAGCCAAGGAAGACCTTTCTCTCTCTCTCTGTCCACTCTGCCTGTCAAAAAAAAAAAAAAAATAATAATAATAATAAAAATTAAAAAACAAACCCAAACCTCTGACTTGCGATTCTACTGTGCACAGCTAACACCGACACAAGTACAGCTCTCACTGTCCCAGCGGCGTTCTGAGCAGTTTAACATGCTTCCTGGGGCAGGCACTTTGGGCGGCAGTTAAGATGCCACTGAGACCCCCACACCCCATACTGGAGTGTCTGCTTCACGTCCTGGCCACGCTTCTGCTCTAGCTTCCTGTTAATTCACAACCTGGCCCAAGCAGTTGGTCCCCGCCACCCACACGGGAGACTGGGATTGAGTTCCAGGCCCCTGGCTTTGGTCTGGCGGAGCTGGTGCAGGCATTTGAGGAGCGAACCAGTGGGTACAAGACCTCTGTCTCTACCTCCACTAGAAAGAGAAAAAAAAAGCACCCTCTCATTACATCTTCATAATGTCTTTAAGGCATTATCATCCACCCCCCCACCTTTTTTTTTCCACTTTATTTACTTGAAAGGCAGAGAGGGGAGAGAGGGAGAGAGAAAGAAGTCTTCAGCTGGTTCACTCCCCAAATGGCCGCAACTGCCAGGACTGGGTCAGGCCAAAGCTAGGAGCCAGGACCTTCATCTATGTCTCAACGTGGATACAGGGGCCCAAGCACTTGGGCCATCTTTCGCTGCTTTTCCAGGCACATTAGCAGGGAGCTGGATCAGAAGTAGAACAGCCAGGACTTGAACTGGTGTCACAGGTGGTGGCTTTACCTGCTGCGCCACAATGGCGGCTTCTAGCTATGACTTTAATTTTCCAAAGCTTGTCTCTCTTCTCTTTCTGTCTTGCTTCCAAGATTGCTATTACAGATTAATGGGATAACAGATATGAAAGAGCTCAGTATACTGTTAAGCACCACACAGATGTATGGTTTTGTAAAAGGCCCTAGACACATGAGCATTTGTGACTAGAGTATGCACAGAATGAACACTGATGGGAACAACCATGGCTTTGTCTCAAGCTGCCTAAAGATCATCCTCCCACACCACAGTTTTGGAAGGAAATGTATTACGGTTCCGTCAGTCCCCTGATGGAGATCACAAAAGGGCTGGAACTGGAGCAGGAAGCCTCATCTGGCTATCACCTAAAGCATCAGTGTGTTGGTACCAATCAGAGTCTGAGTGTGGGGCAGATGTTTGGTGCAGGGTGTAATAATCCAATGGGGAAGCCTGCATCCCATATGGGAGTGTTTGGGTTCGAGTCCCAGCACCACTTCCAATCCCAGCTTCCTGCTAATGCACACCTTGGGAGGCAGCAGGTGAAATGGCTCAAGTAGCTGAGTCCCTGCAGGCCACACAAAAGACCTGAATGGAGTTCCAGTTTCCTGTTTGAGCCTGGTCTGGCCCTGGTTATGTGGGCACTTAGAGAGCGAACCTGTAGATACAAAAAAAATTCTCTGCCTCTCCCTGTTTCTCTGCCTTTCAAAACAAAAACAGTTAAATAACACTTTTTAAAAGAGGAGCCTGAGGGGCTGGTGCCATGGCTCACTTGGCTAGTGCTCCACCTGCGGCGCCAGCATCCCATATGGGCACCGGTTTCTAGTCCCGGTTGCTCCTCTTCCAGGCCAGCTCTCTGCTGTGGCCCGGGAGTGCAGTGGAGGATGGCCCAAGTGCTTGGGCCCCTGAGCCCACATGGGAAACCAGGAGGAAACACCTGGCTCCTGGCTTTGGATCAGCGCAGCGCGCCAGCCGTAGCAGCCATTTGGGGGGTGAACCAACAGAAGGAAGACCTTTCTCTCTGTCTAACTCTGCCTGTCAAGAAAAAAAAAAAAAAAAAAAAGAGGAGCCTGAGCTGAAATACTGACAGTGCCCAGGTCATTGCGGGTGACCCCATTTCAGTGTCAGGGATGCCCAAGCTAAGGAAAGCCATGGTGTGTCTTGCTGGCTCGGACCCCCTGCCCTCTCTCGCAATACACCCCAAAACTTGGAATTGCAAAAGGTTATCTGTTTTGACCCGGGTTCCTTCACTCCAGAAGGATGGACGCCGACCCGCCCAAGCCTGACGAGGGGTGAGGCACCGTGGCAGAACACTCAGTCTCAGCTCTGCCAGTTCACGAGTGAATGGCGCTCACCCCCAGCGCCTCTGTAAACTAGGAATCCCAAGGCAGGTGAGCCCAGGCACGCGAGGCCCTCCACGAGGTGCCTGACGCACAGGAAAAGCTCGGGCCTGCTACTGCCATCGCCTGGTTGTTACCGCGACACCGGTGCACGGACGGAAGCCACCTCACCGGTATGCAGCAGCATGTGTCGGATGAGGACCCGCTTGTGGGCGGTGGCAAAGCTGCACTCGGGGCACTGGTGGATCTTCTCGTGAGCGTGCATCTTGCCCACGTGGTCCTGGTAGGCGACGGGGTTGAAGGTGGCGAAGGGGCAGAAGGTGCAGCGCAGCTCCTCGCTGCCGGGGTGGCCCTGCTTCTTGTGCTTGCGGAACAGGTGCTTGTTGGAGCAGGCGAAGTCGCAGTGCGGGCAGTGGAAGGCGAAGTGGCTCTTGTGGTGGGCCTCCATGGCTTCGGCCGTGGCAAAGAGCAGGGGGCACGAGTGGTGGCGGCACTCCACAGCCCGCAGCCCGTGGCTCTCCTTCAGGTGCTTGACAAAGGCCTTGCGGTCGGGGGTCGTGTAGCCGCAGCCCTCCTGGAAGCAGCGGAGGGGCAGGGGCTCTGCGGCCGCGGCCGCGTGGCTCTTGAGGTGCTCCTTGAGGGCCTGGCTGAGGCGGAACTCCTCCCGGCACACGGGGCAGGCGTAGGTGTCCGAGTAGAAGTTGGAGATGTCCTCGTGCATGCTGGCCATGTGGCGGTTCAGTGCGTTCCTCTCCACGGCGCTGTAGTGGCAGAGCGGGCAGCGGTGGGCCTTCTCGCCCAGCTCCCGCAGCAGGTGGGTCTTGAGCTTGCTCTTGCTGGTGAAGAACTTCTGGCAGTTGGGGCACTGGAGGCTGGGGTCCGGGAAGTGGAGGTGCAGGTGTTCCACGAGATGGGTCCGCTTCTTGAAGCAGCGCTTGCACTCCGGGCACATGTGGGTCTTGAAGAGCGACTCGGTGCCAGCAGCCACGTTCCCTGAGGGGGTGTGGGGGGACAGAGCGCGCTCAGAGCAAGCACCCTCAACAGGCCAGGGGCTGCTCAGACGGCGGAAGAACCACAATCTGCCCAGACACAAACACTGTGTGGTCTTTCCACAAAAACCAAACATCAGGGTCTGGAACCCGTCGCCTCAAAAAGAAACGAAGTCACAAGCGCTGCGTGGACCTCCTGGTGGCCTGGTTGAGTGCTTTACCCAGCAGCCCACTGTGGCTGTGCCACTGCTTAGGGGTGGCTCATGAGAACAATCTGAACGGGGCGTTCTTGTCCTCCCGACCCTTGTCCCACGGGGAGGCATTAGGGTTAGTGAGGCCAGTCGAAGAGTCCCAAAAGGAGAAGGCAGAAAGGCAGGCAGAGCACCCACTTTCAAACACCGGCTCACTGGGCTCTAACCACAAAGCAGCCCACGAGAGCAACCTCTGCTCACCCCCAGCCTGCGCCACGGAGCCTTTACCTGTCGATCGTTTTCTCACTAGACCTTGACTTGGGAGTCAAAGAGCAATGGAGAGGATTTGAGGACCTGAACCAAACTCCCTGGCCGGCTCCCCTCCACCCGCTCCCCGCCACCAGCAGGAGCTTGGGCCCAAGCACAAAGTCATTACCTTCCACCTGCTGGGCCCCCTGAACTTTATCCAGGACTTTCGGGGAGTCCTTCTGGGTGCCGCTCTCCTCCTCCTCCTCCGCGTCCTCCTCTCCGGCCGACTCCTGCCCAGGCAAGGCCGCACCTGTTTCCTCCGAAGGCCCTCCCTGTCCTGGAGGCCGCTTGGGAGCTGGAGACCCATACATTCAATGAGGTTTACAGGAACCAAGGACTGCACTGAATGCACTTCTCTGCTTACTGGCTGGAAGACTAAGTCTCCTCCCCTTTTAACACAAGGAATCTTGGTCCTAAGTAAATAAATGTATTCCCACTCGTGATGAGAATAGGAAAACTAGGAGCTAAGCTATCAGCAATGCTCTAGTCTAAAGCAAATCAAACCTCAGATTCCTGGAAGGAAAGAGCTTTGAGGTTTGGGGGGCTGGAGCTGAGACCAGAGAAGGGCCAGACTGAACTTCCTAGGCAGGTGCTGAAGGCAGTGGCACAGTGTAGGGGAATTCCAAAGTGAATTTCCAAAGTGTTGAGAAGCCCAACTCAGCAATTCAGGGTCACACCTTGACCTTCTGATTTATTCCTTCTGACCAAGGGATCTTAGCAAGCCCGGTTCCATCAGGATCCTGGCTCTCCTGGACCACTTTCTGTTTCCTCCTGTTCTACACCCTTCCCTCGCTCCATTCCCTCCCTCTTTCACTATCCATCTGCCCATCTTTCCTCCGACCAAGGAGTAAGAATCAGTGAGACACCAGTTCCCAAGAAGGTTTCTTTTCATTCTTATTCCCCAAATGGCCACAATAGCCAGAGCTGGGCTGATCTGAAGCCAGGAGCCAGAAGCTTCTTCCTGGTCTCGCACATGGGTGCAGAGATCCAAGGACTTGGGCCACCTTCTATTGCTTTCCTAGGCCACAGCAGGGAGCTGGGTTAGAAGTGGAGCAGCCGGGACTTGAACCAGCACCCATAAGGGATGCTGGCACTGCAGGCGGCAGCTTTATCTGCTATACCACAGTGCTGGCCCTTGGAAGGTTTCTTTTTAAAACAGACCCAACTTCTCTGCTCAGTCCCCCAGTCCCACTGGTTCTAAAAGGGAATCAACAGGCATTCTACCATTGGCCATGGCTACGCATGGGCATTTCTGCTTTTGTTCTCAGAAAGTTCTGAAATTAATCAGGAGCGCCAGCATCCCATTAGGGTGCTGGTTGGAGACCCAGCTGCTCAACTTTCGATCCAGCTCCCTGCTAATGCACCTGGGAAAGCAGTAGAAGGTGGTTCAAGTGCTTGAGCCCTGCACCCAGGAGGGAGACTGGAAGAGGCTCCTGGCTCCTGACCGGCCCTGTGCAGGCCACTGTAGCCATATGGGGAGCTCTTCCTTCCAGAGGATGGGAGATTTCTCTGTGTCCCTCTGTCTTTCCCTCTCCCTATAACTCTGCCTTTCAAATAAAAAAATAAATCTTAAAAAAAAAATTCAGAAGGTCAAGTTCAGCTCCTTGACCTCAGCTGTGAGCTTTCAGTTCTCTTTAAAAAAAAGCATCAGTGGGAAATATTGATGAAATAACTTCAGGCCACATGCAGCCTCAGGCAGATTTCACTGATTGTCACAAAGACGTCCTCTGTCCCACATACTCTGAGCAGATCCAGGTTCCTGGATGCCTTCCCGTGCCACCCAGTGGCTCCGTCCTCCTGAGCCACTATCTTAGACTCCACAGCGCTGGAAACAAACCCCTCTCCTCTAAGGGCGACCCTGACTCCACCCCAGGGTGGGCTGTGGGGCGGCCTCCTACCTGACAGCAGCTCCTGGGCTGGAAGGCCCTGAACGGTGGGACGCTCTCCCTGCGGCCCGGGCCCGTGGCTCCGCTGATGCTGCCGGAAGAGCTTCACGTTGGAGCCCATGAAGTCGCAGCGGCTGCAGTGGAAAGGGTAATGGGCCTGCCGGTGCAGCTCCATGCCCTGCCGGCTCCCGAAAAGCAGGGCGCAGCCCCGGAAAGAGCAGGCCACAGGAACTGCTCCATGGGTCTGCCGCAGGTGGTGCTGCAGACCCTTGCGATCTTCAGCGGAGAACACGCAGCCAGGCTCTGGGCAGGAGAAGGTGTCGGGAGTGGCCCGGTGAATCTTGAAGTGGCTCTTCAGGGTCTGGGGTTGAGCAAACTCCTGTTTACACACAGGGCATGGCAGGGAGCTATCTGGTGGGCTTTGGCCCTGCAGAGGCCTAGGGAGGGTGAGGTTGCGGGGGGGCAGCTCTACAGAGCACGGGGGGCTAGCGAGGCCCTGCACGGGCTGTATGTGGGTCTCAGGGCACTGGTGCAGGGCCAGCAGAGTAGGCTCTGCAAAGCTCTGTTCACAGCGCTCACAGAAGTACACCTCCACCACCTTTACCAGGACACCTGCAGGCAGAGGACCGACAGAGAAAGGCACAGAATCAGCTGGAACGAGGCCCACGGTTACTGCAGAAATGTGGGGGGGTCTTCTTACTGCTGGGGCGCAGACGGACTGAAGTCTGGCTCCGCACCTGGAGGCCCGGCATCTAGCACAGCCCTTGGCACAAGACAGGTGCTTAAAGCGACTTGTTGAATGAATGAAAAAAAAACTCATCAAACGTGGGAAGCATTAAGAAAAGGCAATATAGTCTGCTCAGCTGAAAAATCTGAAACCCCCAGAAGATCAAAATGACAAACTAGGGAGAGTGTCTGCACTACAGATAACAAAGTGTTAACTTTCAAATTCTGTCAAGAGCTTTGCCAAGGCATAGGAAGAGCCACATGACCGCCACGACAACTGCTGGCAGGATCCTGACAAAGGCAGGCTTAGGAAAAGCCCCCATGCGGCCCCCAGCAGCCCAGTGAGAAGGGGGACTGGGATTCCCCTCTGGCCATGCTTCTCAATGGCAGGGCCGGGACTCGAGGCCAGGCCTGTCCTCCATGTACTCTGCTCATCCTTTTTCTCTTTGCTTGGAAAAAGTTCAACACAGCCCTTCAGAGGACACCGAGGTTCACAGAGCACAGAACTGCTCGCCCTCACACAGCACGGTCGGCCGCGGCTGTCAGGCCTTGTGCTGCTACTGCTCTGCCAGTTGCCCCCGCCCTCCTCCCCCACCACAGTTAGACATCAGTGGTTTTTTTTTTTTTTTATCTATGAGTACAGTACATCTACTTTTATCGGTCCAGCTCATGGTATTTCAGAGCGTGGATAAATCTAAATTGAAGTCCTGCCCTCACTCATGGACATTTGGGATGTTCCCAGCTATTACAAACAAACCATTACAATTCCTCACCCCTACTCGCACGCGCTTGTGTGCGTCTCTGTCAGACACACTCTGAACAGAATTCCCGCGTCAGAGCATGCGCGCTGTGCAACTGGCTGGCCATGCAGCGAAACGGACCTGCACGGCTGAACCAACTGACGTTCTCCACAGGCTCTGAGACAGTGTTTCCTCACACACTCACCAACACTAGGTATTTTCAACATATTTGTTAACTATTTTTTAAGTAGTCTTGCCAAAGTCGAGACACAGCAGTGGCACGAATGTGTCCATGAGCTCAAGCATCCTCCCGAGAGGCTACTCACTCATTTCCTCTGAATGAGCGACAGGTGAACGACCCCCCCACCCCCGCCCCCGCCCGGGTTTTCCTTTCAGCGCCTCTCCTCACAGGGAACTCTGGATGTTAGCGGTATTAACTCTGCCTTAGATACTAGGAATGTTTCTTCCCCCAGGCGCTTTTATTTTCCCCCGGTCCCACCCAGAAGTTTAGAAATAAGAGATGGTCAGATTAGCTCCCCTTGCCCAGAATTCTGCCAACAAACCACACTGCCAGGGGACAGCGTGGTGACAACCGCGGCTGGAAGAAGGCGGTCTAAAAAACAAGGAAGCTTCCTGAAAGTAAGAGCTTGTAGAGGTGGGAAGATCTTTCTTCTGGGTAACCACGATCACTCAACTCTTACTCCCAGAAACACGCCCTGGGTGAATGAAGCGCGCGATACACGCAGTGATGCCTGGGGAACACCAGGGCAGCCCTGGGAAGCCTTGCCGAGCCTGGGTGGCAGCGACAGCCGGGAACGTTTGCCCGATTCCTGGCTGCAGGGCTGAGATGAAGGAAAGACTTCCTGAGGAAGGCAGAGTAAGGACAGGCCAGGACCGGGCAGGTGTCACGAAGGTCTTCCCCTCGCGATCGCCACGGAGCAGACGGGAAGGAAGCCCTGCAGGGAGAGTCTGCCACGAGTTCGCTGCGGGGCTCTGCGCCACCGTGGCAGCCTTCCATCAACGCCAAATTACGACATTGCAGGGTATAAAAATAGGAGGCTCCCTGGTGTTCTCGCCCTATTTATGCCGGAGGATCAGAAACAGCACAGGCAAAACCTCAGGGCTGCTCGCGCCACTGGCCTGCCAGCAAGCATTTGTACCTGGGGTCTCTCCGGCAGCACCCGGGGACAGGGTTCCAGCTACGGTCTCCACAATGATCTCCATGTTCGCCGGGCTCTCCTCAGTCGCCGTGGCCTCCACCAGCAGACAGTCCGGGTCGGCAGGCAAAGGTGCAGGGTCCCCGGGAGGGCAGGGGCTCTGGACGGGCCCCATGATTCCATGGTCAGGAAGAGGAGGGGGGATCAGCAACAGCTCGGGGCACAGTCCATCCATCTCCCCAGCGCTGCTGGCTGGCTGCGAGTCCAACACAGGGTCAGTCATCACCACCAGTGTGCGTGCTGTGGCTTCTTAAGTGCTGACAAGCCAACGAGAAAAAGAAAAGAAAAACACACAGCTACAACTCACTTTCTCCCAGGTGCTGTGAGTATACAGCACGGTGCCCAGCTACCGGGCAGCTCCTTGCAAGGGAGTATGGCCCACTCTATCAGCCAAAACAGGGTCCTGTCTTTTTATGGCAACATTTAGAAAAGTATAAAAATGGTAATAGAGAGGCCTTCATTGTAGCACAGCGGGTTAAAGCCCTGGCCTGAAGTGCCAGCATCCCATATGGGCACCGTTTGCGTTCCGGTTACTCTACTTCCGATCCAGCTCTCTGCTATGACCTGGAAAAGCAGTAGAAGATGGCCCAAGTCCTTGGGCTCCTGCATCTGCGTGGGAGACCTGGAAGAAGCTCTTGGCTCCTTGCTACAGATCAGCTCAGCTCTGGCTGTTGCGGTGATCTGGAGAGTGAACTAGCGGATGGAAAACCTCTCTCTCTGGCTCTACCTCTCTCTGTAACGCTGTCTTTCAAAGAAATAAAATCTTCTTTCGGGTAATAGGGTTAATATCAAGGAGAAATCCAATGAGTTTTGGCCATTACATTGAAGACTGCAGGTTATTTATATCTGAAGATTTATTTATTTGCAAGGCAGAGGGACAGAGGGAGACACAGAGATTTTCTACCCTCTGGTTCACTCTCCAAATACCTACAAGAGCCAAGATTGGGCCAGGCTGAAGCCAGGAAGCCAAGTACATGGCCCTTCACCTGCTGCCTCCCAGGCGCGTTAGCAGGAAGCTGGAGGGAAGCGGAGCTGCCAGGACTCAACAGGCACTCCACACAGGATGCAGAGGTCGCAAGCAGCAGCCAACACCTGCCCCTGCAGGTAATGCTTTCGCTAGCTAAATGGTCCTATCCAAGCTGGGTCTCAGTTTCTATTGTCAACAAAACTGCATGGGGCCAAAGCATCTCCAGGGTCCCTTTCTCTGACTCACTGCTCTCAGCATGGGCGTGGCCCTTCCTCCACTATCCAGCCCCCAGCCCCTGTGACCTTCCATGGCCGTTCCCACTGGGCCAGACGATGTGCCATTCTCTGCTGACCACATTCTCTTAAGCATCCACACCCCTTTACTTCTCTCTTGCTGTCATCTGGCCTTCCCTTTTCTTCTAACCAACACCCAACTACCCTTTCAGAAGCTGTGCAACAGGCAGGGGTTAACCTAGCAGTTAAGACGCGTGCATCCCATATCAGAGGGCCCAGCTCCAGCTTTCTGCTAATGCAGACCCAGAGAAATAGTGGGAATGGTTCAAGTAACTGGGTCCCTGGCACTCACATGGGAGACCTGGATTGTGTTTCCAGTTCCTGGCTCCAGCCTGTGTCCACTGCGGGCATTTGGGGAGTGAATCAGCAGGTGGGAGATCTCCTTCTCTCAAGGGAAAAATAAATTTCTTAAAAAAGCGGCATAAACGTCATTTCTACTATGAAGCCTCTGCACTCTAACTCTCTCCCAGAGTCCTACCGGCACTTTGGACAAGGCCTATTGGAAACTGTCCCAGTGGGGCTGGCATTGTGGTGCAGTGGCTAGATGCTGGCATCCCGTATCAGGGCTGGGCTTGCGTCCCGAATGCCTCCACTTCTGATCCAGCTCCCTGCTAATGCTAAGTCCCTGCCACACAAGTGGGCGCCCTGGACGGAGCTCCTGACTCCCGGCCTGGCCCAGCCCTGACCGTTGTGGCCATCTGGGGAGTGAACCAGCGGATGGGAGAGCTCCCTCTCTCTTTCTCTCTGTCTCTTCCTGTCACTTTGCCTTTCAAATCAATGCATCTAAAACAAAACAAACAAACAAGAAACAGCAAGAAACGGTGCCACACTGCAATGCTGGTTACTATCGTCTTTCTCTTCGATGTGGAGGTTCTGAGAAGTTCATGGACATTATCACGTCAACAAACACAAGACAGCAATCTATGCAGATCAGACAACTAAGGACTCTAGTGAAAAACCAGAGACACAGAGCTGCATGGGAGGAAAGCTAGTTACCTCGTACCAAAGCGATCAAACCAGTGGTTCCTCGCATAGCAAGCAACACATCTGGAGAAAGGTCAAACTCACCACCTGCCTATGGCCTATGGGAAATGAATGGCAACTAAATGGCACATTCTGTCTCGATGGCTAAAAGGAGTTTAACTGAATAATCAGCAGAGTTAGAATGACAGTGAACACCTCGCCAAGCTGTCACAGCAGCCAACCAGGTGAGAAGAAGCAAAAACAGAAGGAAACCAAGTGCCCACAACCTGGTATTTGCTATCCTCCGGAATCCTTCCACGCAAAACCCCGGATCGTGGGGATTCGGGAAGCAGAGCGCACCGCCGCGGCCACAGCTCCACCTGCTGAGTACCTTCGCTTCCTCCGGGGAGCCTTCCGGCGTGGCCGGCCCTACGGGAGTGGCCTCAGGTGGGGGCCCGAGGAGGATGCGGCGGCCTTCCGTCGCCGGCAGGCAGGGTGAGGTGGGAGACAGGTGCTGCTTAGCTTTGGGCAGGGGCACTGAGGAGGAGGAGAAAGGTCAAGTTAAGGCAGAGAGAAAGCGGCCAGGAGCCGGGTTCCCCCCTGCCTGGGCGCTGACTCACCGCGTGCCCGTGGACAGAGCCGGCTGCCTCGCTCGCGTCTCTGGGCCTCAGCTTTCCTATCTGTGAAATGGAGGCGACGACAGTGTCCACATCGTCGGGCGCGAGCTGGGTCACGGCAGCCGGCGGCCGCCCAAGGCGCTTCGTAACCTGCACGGCTTGGGAGGGAGCACCGCGTCGATTACGGTCCTAAGGCGAGGCAGCGGCTACCCGGGCGGGGTCCGGAGCCGTGACGCTGCCGAGGCGCCCGGGCGCCGCTCTTCGGCGTGCTTCTCCCAGCCTCTCCTCCCGAGGGGTCCCACCGCCCAGGCCCACGCTCACCCCTGGACCCCAGAAACTTTTGCCTCCGGCTCGCTCCACCCGCACGCCCTCTCTCTTCCCGCCCTGCAAGCCTCTCACTCACCTGCCGGCCTAGGGCCGGGGGGTGGGGGAGCCGCATCTCTATGGTCGGCGGCGGATGAGGCGGCCTCCCGGGGCGCCCTTTGTGCGACCGCCTCCGGCCCAGCTGCCTCTAGGACATTGGGGATATGGAGGCCACTCTTTCTTCCATTTGTCGGCCGGCGGGGTACTCTATGGTCCCCCCCGTCGTCGTCGTCCTCCAAACCCACAAGCCCAAGGCGTACCATCGAGAGTTGTGGGGCAGAGTGGCATGACCTTCTTGGTGGGTGTGGCGGGAAGTGGTTGAAAGAACCCGGGGGGGCGGGGCCGAGCAGCGCTTCCCTCAGGTACTGAGAGGTGAAACCATCGAGACGGAGGGCCAGAGAGTCATGGCGGTAAGGGGGCGGAGTGGAGAATTCTTCCACACCACGTTGCTGGAGGCGCGAGCCGAGGTGTGCTGGGGATTCTGGAAGGGACTTCTGAGCGTCTGGCAAGGACCGGGAGCGGGGAGAGCTTTGTCTGTGGCCTCGCATGCATGGGTGTTTGGGGCTTATGGCTTCCGCTCTGAGCCTCCATGGAGGTCACTACTGTCAGTACACCCATCCGTGCCTAGCGCTGAGCCAAGTTGCGCTCGAGGGGCAACAAGGCTGTGAGAGTTTGCACGTTTGTTGAATCGGCAGTATTAAGCGCTAAGCCATAAAAGGTAGGTGGGCGCTGTGTTGTGGATAGCCTTTGAATATAGGCTGAGGAGTTTTCCGGGTCAGGTCCGTTGGGAGTCAACCCTTGAAGGTACTGGTGTAGAGAGAGTGCTGGAATCGGAGCCGAAAGATCTGGACCCCTGTGTGGTGTAGCTGTTGGGTGATGCAGGAGGTGGCGACCCATTGAAATGCCATTTCAAGAATTCGTTCACTTTTCTTTAAAAGATTTATTTATTTGAAAGAGTTACACAGAGAGAGAAGGAGAAGCAGAGAGAGAGAAAGAGCGCTCTTCCATCCACTGGTTCACAATTGGCTGTAATAAATGGCCGGAGCTGTGCTGATCTGAAGCAAGGAGCTTCCTCTGGGTCTTTTGGTGCAGGGCCCAAGCATTTGGGCCATCTTTTACTGCTTTCCCAGGCCACAGCAGACAGCTGGATCGGAAGTGGAGCAGCCAGGACTCGAACCAGTGCCCATATGGGATGCTGGCACTGGAGGTGCCAGCCCTGAACTCGTTCAGTTTTAAAGGGGCAGGTTAGGTGGGAGGTAATAAAGGTTTAAATCGGGCATTAGGAACTGGGCACATAGGGAGATGGTATTTGGACTCCTGCTAGTGGACACAGGCCACTGGGTTGCTGACAGGTCAATGAAGACTCCTGCCAGCCGGGCCCTTTCTATCTCAGCTGGTCCTTGTGATCGCGAAAATTTCACCCATTCGTTACCCTACTGTGAAGCTGGTTCCTCTGGCGGGAAACTGAGGTATGGGCAGGCGAGTGGAAAGGGCTTGGAATCTCAGCGACAGAGAGACCTGAAACCCCCGGGTGGTGAGGACCCATCCTTCCTGCTCCTGCTGGAGGTGGGGGTGGGTGGGAGAAGGGACTCTCCTTGCCACGCTAACCTTGTGCTCTGTCCCCTCTTGTCCTCTGCTCTCCACCTCTAGGTTTTGACAACGCCGCAGGGCGCGTAAGGTTCAGTGCTGCCCTCCCAAGATGCCACTCTCAGACTTTATCGTGGCCCTGAAGGACAATCCCTACTTTGGGGCTGGCTTTGGGCTGGTGGGTGTGGGCACAGCCCTGGCCCTGGCCCGAAAGGGTGCCCAGCTGGGCCTGGTGGCGTTCCGGCGTCACTACATGATCACGCTGGAAGTCCCGGCTCGCGACAGGAGCTATGCCTGGCTGCTCAGCTGGCTCACCCGCCACAGTACCCGAACTCAGCACCTCAGCGTTGAGACGTCGTACCTTCAGCACGAGAGCGGCCGCATCTCCACCAAGTTCGAATTTGTCCCCAGCCCTGGGAACCACTTCATCTGGTAAGGTTTTGTGCTCTTGGAGGGCTCTGTCTTGCGAGGGAGCTGGCTTTGACCCCTTCCTTGCCTCTGACCGATCTTTTTCAGGTATCAGGGGAAATGGATCCGGGTAGAAAGAAGTCGGGAGATGCAAATGATAGATTTGCAGACGGGGACTCCCTGGGAATCCGTCACCTTCACAGCCCTGGGCACCGACCGCAAGGTTTTCTTCAACATCTTGGAGGAAGGTGTGAGATGGTACAGGTGACCTCTTCAGGGGACTGCAGGGATAGGGACACGTGACATTGGGAGGAGGCAGCTTGGAGGGAACAAGATTTGAGTCAGGGGCTCAGGGCACACACAGAAAGGAGCCATCTTGGCATAGCTCGACCTGACTGAACGGTCAGCAGTCGTGAAGGGAATGCCCACCTTTGGTCTCTCCACTCTCAGCCCGAGAGCTAGCCTTGCAGCAGGAGGAAGGGAAGACGGTGATGTACACAGCTGTGGGCTCCGAATGGCGCCCCTTTGGCTATCCACGCCGCCGCCGGCCCCTGAGTTCTGTGGTTCTACAACAAGGTCTGGCTGACCGAATCGTCAGAGATGTCCGGGAATTCATTGAGCACCCCCAGTGGTACACGGATAGAGGTGAGAAGCGGCTGGGGTCTTGGCTAGGCCGGTTCTAGCGGAGGAGAGGGGCTGGTCGCTTGCCAGATGGGGCGATGCGAGGCTCTGCTCTGATTCTCAGAGGTGAATGGGGAAAGCAGGTTTCTCCCCACAGCAGGGCTGGTAGGTCCTGACCTCTGGGGCTGTATCCCTAGGCATTCCCTACAGACGTGGCTACCTGCTTTATGGCCCTCCTGGTTGTGGAAAGAGCAGTTTTATGTGAGTAGTCAACATTCTCTTAACTCTGCAAAACTTAAGTCTTTATGGAACAGCTGGGCCAGAGGGTGGAAAGGGAAATGAACCTGGTGGCCAGAGAGCGTTAGGGTGGATGGTGGAAGAGTTAGGTCTCTGAGACACATCTCCCAGGGCTGTGCGAAGAGCAGCTGGGCCCAACGAGGAGTTCCAGGGTCGCCTACCTGCTCCTGTCCTGCCACCTTCCACAGCACAGCCCTGGCTGGGGAGCTGGAGCATAGCATCTGCCTGCTGAGTCTCACGGACCCCAGCCTCTCCGACGACCGGCTCAACCACCTGCTGAGCGTGGCCCCGCAGCAGAGCCTGGTGCTCCTGGAGGATGTGGACGCGGCCTTCCTCAGCCGGGACCTGGCCGCAGAGAGTGAGTGACGGGAGCTGGAGGCAGGGGGGTGGCCCTACGTGAGGTACAGGAGTAACCGAGGAACAGGAGGAGAAAGTAGGGACCCAGAGCACGCTGATGGAGGAAGCGTGTGCTAGCAACAGGGGCCCACGGGTGGTCAGGAAGTGAGTGGAGGGATGCTCATCCCTCGTGTTTCTCTCTTCCTTCCCCCAGACCCAGTCAAGTACCAAGGCCTAGGCCGCCTCACCTTTAGCGGACTTCTCAATGCCTTGGATGGCGTGGCTTCCACTGAGGCACGCATTGTGTTCATGACCACCAACCACGTTGACAGGTGAGGGGAGGGGGCACCACCCCGAGTGCCTCAGGAGGGTCGGGAAGGCGAGTTTTTTTTCCGATGCAGCAGCCTATGACTCTGCTTCCCCTGCCTCCTCCTAGACTGGACCCTGCCCTCATCCGCCCTGGACGAGTCGACCTGAAGGAGTACGTGGGCTACTGCTCACACTGGCAGCTGACCCAGATGTTCCAGAGGTTCTATCCAGGGCAAGCACCTTCCTTGGCCGAGACCTTTGCAGAACGTGTCCTTAAGGCTACAAACGAGATCAGCCCTGCCCAGGTACAAGGCTACTTCATGCTGCATAAAAACGATCCTACAGGGGCGATCCACAACACTGAGACCCTGAGGTGACTGAGAGGCGGTGTGCAGCTCTGCCCAGCCAGGACTCCAATAAACACGGCCCACACTCCCCTGGTCTCTGAGCTCCCTTGCTTCCTCCCTGGACTGTGCCTGCTAGAGCAGGGGCTGCGATCGCAGGGCCCGCAGGGTCAGGCCACCACGGAGACAGATGATGGGGACACGTGCCTCCACCTAAAGGCATCCAAACTAAGTACATGTGTGATGTGCGTACCTATGCAGTGAGTTACATGTCAGGGTGGTCTCTGCCCAAGTGTTGACATCTCGCTAGTGGGCAGAGAACAGACTTCGAGCCAAGTTGGGGGCCACCCTGCCACAGCCCAGTCTTGTTAGGAATTTACAAAGAGCCATACTCCACAGGCTAGGCACTGCTGAGCAAAGAAAGCCAAACAAGGCCAAGTCTCTTTATTGCCCCCCCCTCCCGTGCCCCCTGCCCCCACCCAGTAGCGCTAGGACCCATCCTCAGATTCCAGGCCCACAGGTTCCCGCCGAGTGCCAGCACAGTACGCTCCCTGGCCCCGAGGCAGGCGGGGGTACGAAGAGCCTGGTGTCCGACCTCTAGAGCGCTCCCAGCGGGCACAGTCCCGAGTCCTGCGGGACGGGGGCCCCTGCCAGCTGCCAGGCCCCTTCTCTTGGGGAGGACCTTCGACCCCTGGGCTGTGGGGCTCCGGCTTTAAATCCGTGGGTTCCTTGAGGGCTCCCTCAGGGAGTGGCAGTTCCTGGGCGTCTCTGGTCCCCTTGGGGGCTCGGCACTCCCCTCCCTTCAGGTGCTTCCGATTCGACTGTCGCCAGGGGCCCCGACTGGGCCGGGGGGTATCTAGCATAGCTTTTTGGGTCTCACCCAATCTCTGGTTCGGCCTGGCCCCGGAAATCTTTTCACACACGTGCTGGGTGGCCCCCGGCAGAGGACTTGGCAGGGTGGGCTGGGCAGCTGGTGAGGCAGACTGGTCTGCGGCAGGGGCCCCGGGGAGGTGCGGTCCTCTGGAGACCTCTCCAGTTGACTCTGGCTCCAAAGGGGCAGGAGGCTGGAGAGGGGGGAGGAGATGCAGGACTGCAGGCCCCCTCGGCCATCGCCACCCTCCATCAGCTGATGGCCGCCTGTGCTCTCGGCCACCGCTCACCCCAGGGCCGCGGCAGAGGGGGACAGCCTGCTCTCACCTGCTGAAGGCTGATGAAGTACCGGTTCCGCTCCGCCTCCAGGTCAATGATGCCCCCCCGCGCCTGCTGCCGCTGGTAGAGCCGCTTGAGCTCCTCTTGCTGCAGCAAGCTCTCCGCGCTGGGCTGGTACAGCTCCTGGAAGGACACAGGAGACTGGCAGGAGACAGCGGGCACAGGGCGGCGGACTCCCGCCCCTTCCTGTCTAACCGCCTCAGGACACCCGTGCCGGGTCTTGGTTTTGGCCCCCCAGAGGCAGGATCCCAGGAGGGCCTTGGGCAGCTCAAGCTCCATTCCAGGCACTGTGTGCACTTGAGGTGAGATGCCCTTCCCCCCCCCCGTCAGAGGACACCCTCACTCCCGGCTCAGAGTAGCAGGACATGCTCTCACCAGCGGCTGCTGGGGCTCAGGGGCTGCCTGCAGTGAAGCCAGATCGTACACAAGAGGCTCTCTGCACACGGGGCACTGCACACCGAGCGCCGTCTAAGAAAGAGGAGAAATCACAGGTCTGCTTCGTGGTCCAGAGCACAGGGCTGGCACAGAGCCGCAGCTGCCTATCGAGAGGCCTGGGCACCCCCTGCAACTGCATGTCATACGGATGTGGCTTTGGGGACAAAGAGAGGAGATTTCATTCACCTCAGGGGTCCCTGGGACCCTAGAAAGGGGAAGAGCCCCTGCAGTGGGGGGACAGGAAGGACTGGACATCCACAAGTGAGGATGTCAAGCGAGACAAGGGGGGGGGTGACGCCTACCTGCTTGGCTGCAGCATGCTGCCGCTCCTGCTCCTGGCCTTGCGCCTTCAGCTCTTGCTCCATGTGCTGGATGTAGCGAGCCAGGCAGTGGCAGTGGAAGTAGTGGTAACAGGCTGTTTTGGTAAAGGCCTCCTTCTCCTGGAGGGGGGAGGAACGGGGGGCACCGCATCAGTGCACTCTCACGTGCCCTCGTCTGCCGGGCCCCAAGAGATCCCAGGTCCCCACTGAGAAACGCACCTGGAAACCATAGAGACAGATGACACACTGGCCATGGGGGATGTTGTTATCTGTGAGGATTTCCTTGCCTTTCTGAGGGGAGAGAAGACACTGCTGAGACAGTGAGGTGTGGACTCGCACCGGGAGCCGGGCCTGTCCACCGCTGCAGGAGCCCTGGCTGGACTCGGCACCCACCGAGCCAGCTTGTTCCCTCATGTTCGTGCACTTCTGTCTTGGTGATGTTCCCTCGACTAGGAATCAGTCCTGTCCCATGTCCCAGCTCGTCCCCCCAGATTTCCCCTTCCTGGCTTTCAAAATCCAACTTAAAATTGTTTTCCCTCTCATGAAGTCACTTTTATTAAATCTTGGGGGTGAAAATAATAGACATTGGAGAGAGAAAATGTCCAGTTTAAACTCCTTTTCTGGGGTGGGGTCTTTCTTGATGAACCCCCTTTGGGCTCCAGTCCCCCATGGGGCGGTGACTTTGCTCTGGAGAATTTAAAAGGCATCAGGTTGGGCTGTGAAATACACATTTCATAGCCAACATGCTGGCATTCCACCAAGTTCAAAGCTGCATTGTGGACGCTTGACCTAGCAGTGCTGCAGTGGTCTAATAAGCCTACTTGCTCTGACTCCAGCCACCCTCCTAACTTCGACAGTAGAAGAGAACAAGGCTGTACTTGCATGTTTGAAATCTGAAGCAGAATTTTTCTATGTAACTCTGGGTGCGCGGGTTCCTCCTTAACCAGGATATAAAGCCCTATCTCCGCCATGACTGCTTCTGGTCGGTTCTGCCGCCAGGCTAGCCTTCAGGTGTTCATTTATGGGTCAGGCTGCCTCGGCCCAGCAAGGTCCCTGTCTTCCGCCACTTGCGGTCGCCAGTGTCAAGAGAACAAGAAACACGCTAACACTGGAGTAAAATGCAAGTTACAGAGGAGAGAACGTTTTCTGTTGAGATGCTGGAATGGGCAACTTGAGTTACTGTTTTCTGGGGAGATTTTACTTCTTTAAATGAAAGAGTTCCATATTTCTGGGCTAATTTAGGCCTCACCTTCAACAAGGACTACATGAATGACTCCAGATGTATTTTAAGATTCTAGGCCTACGGCTTCCCTCGAGAGAAACTGGGCTAGCTTAAAGGGAAAGACCAGCGTACCTCTTACCTCAATGAGCTCATAGAGCATGGCAGTGCCCAGCCCGGCCTTGGCCACGCTGCCCAGTGCCTGTGAGATCCTGCAAGAAGAGGGCAAAGCCAGTATTCAGCCTGCCTCCCTCCCCGGGCAGAGCTGTGTATCAAGGTGTCCCTCCTCTGACCGGCCGAACTTACTTGTGGATCTGTTCATCTGAGAGCCCTCGGGGGTTACGGATAGAGATCTCTGGCACTTCATAGGGATACTAGTGGGGAAAAGAACAAATTACCGCTGACGTGATCCACCCGGCAACTCTCCCTTTCCTCCCCTTGCTGCTGTGCGGTCGGGGCCCACCTGTGCCGGCACGCGCAGCACCAGCGTGAGGCAGACGTATTGTGAGTCTTGGTCCTCTGCGGTGGCAGGGTGCAGCGTGATGAGGATCTCCCATGGTGAGGATCTGCAGGTGGAAGAGGTGGAGACCCAGGGTGTGACTGGGCAGGGGCTCCAGGACTTGGGAAGATAGGGGTGAGACAGAAAAGTGGGCAGCGGCAGTAAACATTGAGCTTTCTTTCTGGAGGATTGAAGGAATAGCCTTTGTCTACACAAAGGAAACCTTTGAATAGGGGCTCAGTGTCTTGGGAACAGAAGCTGCACAGAATCCTGCCATTACTGAGTGGACTGCTGCCCACCCCTAGTTGAATACATACCTGCCACTTCCTTTAATCACTTGTAGTTCATCCAGATAGATAGATTCTAACACTTCGACTTCAGAGGGAAGGACCCTAGAGAGACAGGGAGAGACTGACTCACCATTAGAGCTCTCCCCGCTGAAGCCAGCTAAGGCCGATGAAGGCTGGCTTCGTAGGAAAACGGCCATCTGCCTGGATGTATTCTCTGGCTAAACTTATTTAAAATGAGAGAAATCTGTTTCCGGAGTTGGCAAGTGGCCAAGTTGGAAGCATGGGGATTTTACAGGTCATTTCTGCCAACAGACAAGGAAACAGATTTCTAGAAGTGAAATGACTAACCAAGGCTTAACAGCTGGGACACGAGCCAGGTTTCCTGATTCTGTTTCACTCTATGGTTGGTTATCCCTTGTTGACCATCTCTCTGGTCCAGAAACAGGGCATCCATCCATGGGCATCAGCTTTCCACTGCTGCTCCTGTCTTTTCCTTTGGCACTGTTGAGCATGGATCCAAGTGCCTGGCTACTGTCTATACACTGCCAACACCATTCTTGCCAAGCCTTCTCCAGGAGATACCACTCCTAACAGAAATCCAGGTAGTGTACAGCTGTGTCGCAGCAGAGCCATCAGCCTTAGCTAACAGGTACCAACTGCTTACCAGCTACGTGGTCTGAGTAGTCACTTAACCTCAGTAAGCCTGAGTTCCCAATCTACCACGTGCCGCTAAAGTCACCTACTTTCTCGGGTGACTCTGAGGATTAAAGGTGATGTGTTTATGTAAAATACCTAAGAGGATCTGGGCCACAGAAGCTAGTCTATGTTCTCTTTTTCCCTGCTTGCATTAATCTTCCCTTTAACAGCAAAGAGGGAAGGATGTGGTTAGCAGAGTACTCCGGATCTAATTATGATCCTGGCTGGCTGGTTGATCTAGATCAGCCTGTCCAGGTGAGGACCCATGGTCCTGGTGTAAATTACAGGACACACAGTTTTAAACACAGAAGCAGCTGTTGTCATGACACTGGCGACGAATGTTTAGTTGCTATCCACAGTAGTACCTGGGTGATAAGCATCTCTTGGTATCTGTGGGAGACTGGTTCCATGACCCTCTACAGATACCAAATGCAGATGCTCCAGTCCTTGTATAAATTGACACAGTATTTGCATACATCCTATGAACCTCCTCCCACATACTTTAAATCATCTCTAGCCTACTTATAAGACTGTAAGACAATGTAAGTAATATGCGAACTGTTGTACTGTACTGCTTAGGGAACAATGACAAGAAAGTTTATACATGTCAGTACAGGGTCCCGCTCCAGCCCACCCAATACTTCCGGCGTGCAGCTGCTTCAATCCGTGGATGGGGAACCTGCGGACATGGAGGCTGACCGTACACAGAAGCAGGCGTGCTTCAGTTCCCTGTGCTGCTCCCTCTCCACCAGGAGCACCTCTAGCAGGAGTTGTTATCAGTGGTTCTTTTTTTTTTTAATAAAAAGCTTTAGGCAGAAACTTCACAACACAAAGCTGTACACCTCACAGATAACAAATGAGTGGTTGCTCACACAGGACTGGGGAGGACTCAGACCACAACAGGCTATCGGCTACAGTCACTGCGGCTCTCTCCATGGCTCAAGGTGTCTCTACAAGCTCCCCCGAACAGTTTGAAAACCACTCATCTAGGTGGTCAGCACTGGCTGGGCTCCCTGAACCAGGGTACAGTGAGGTGCAGCCTCAGTCAAGACTGGCCCTTCAATACTCTGCCTACCAAGCTACGACTTGGGTCCTGGATGGAGGTACTGGCTGGGATGGTGGTAAGGTGATGACAGAAAAAAAATGGGAAGATGAGAAGATCTGGAGTCAGACCCGGATTCCCAGTCACAGCTTTGTATCTTCTGGCAAATCACTTCACTTCTGGGCTCATCTAGTTTCTGCAGGTGCCCAGATCTCAAGAGATATGGGGTCAGCGCTGTGGCATAGTAGGTAAAGCCACTGCAAGTCCCGGCGGCTCCACTTCTGATCCAGTTCCCTGCTAATGCGCCTGGGAGAGCAGCAGAAGATGGTCCAAGTCCTTGGGCCCCTGCACCCACGTGGGAGATCCGGAAGAGGCTATGGGCTCCTGGCTTCATATCGGCCCAGCCCTGGCAGTTGTGGCCATTTGGGGAGTAAACCCGTGGATGGAAAATCTGCCTCTCTAACTCTGCCTTCCAAATAAATCAATCTTTTTTAAAAAAGTTATTAAAGCAAAGATGGCTATGTATATTACAAATGCATCCTGATCATCTCAACCATTCTATGATGCAGCTGCCACACCCACTTTTTTTGTTTTTTTAACAGCTGAGGACACTGACTCACAGAGGCTAAATGGCCTGGTTAGCACCACACAGCTAATATGTGGAGTGAACCCACATCGTTATCCTGTTTCCAAGTCCCAGAGTCCTTGGAGGTTCCGGCTTCTCGTTAAGAATGCTCGAGAGAACTAGGAGGGCTTTCTCTGTGTTGTGAAGCTTCACGCACAGGACAGCCCTCGTTAGATCGGCTGGGGAGAGAGGAGGCTGAGGAAGGCGCGGGCGGTAGTGAGGCTGATCCAAGGGGCAAGGGGGCCAGAAGGTGGAGGGCACCGGGTGGGCGAGGTGGGGAGGTCTGATGAGCAGGCATCGCCGGGGCCCCTGAGCACATTCACTTCCAGAGGACAGGACGGGATGGGGTGAGGCCATAGCAGAGGGGATCCAACCGGAGAACGTGCGTCCCGAACTGGCCGGGCCGGCGCTGTCTCCTCGCAGACCGGCGCCCCTTCCACCTCCCGCGCCCAAGTCCAGAAGCAACCCTAGGAGGAGATGTCAGCGTCTCCGCCGACCCTCCTCGCTTGCTCCACCCCCACACGCCCGCCGCACGGAGGGTCTGCGGCCGCCCCGAGTGCCCCCGGCCAGAGCCAGGCCGACAACCGAAGCCCATGCCCCCGAAGTTACCAGTCCTCCTCCCCTGCAGCTGCCGACGCTGACGCCGCCATGTCGCCTCCGGCCCGCGGCCGGAACCGGAAGTGCCCTTGGGGAAGTCGGAGGCGGAAAACCACGGGGGCGGGGGGACGCCAGCCGGGGCCGTTTCTAGGCAACCGCGGACTCCGGGTCCTTAGTGGGACCTGATGGCCGAGAGACAGTTCGGAAGTGTCCCAGGAGGTGCCTATGGACGGCCCACCATCCCTCCCACCACCTCTGAGCGCCGTTGTCCTCGGAACTTGTGACCGGTTCTAGCGCGTAAAATTGGTGAGAACGGAAGCCTAAAGAGACCAGGACTAGGGAGCGAGTGGAGGCAAACTCCGCCAGGCGCAGCACGCAGGCAGCCAGACGGGACGGGGCTGAAGGCCAGCGCCGGCGTCCCTCGGCCAGAGGAGCTTCGAGCTCCTCGGCTGGGGGTGAGAGGCGGGCCCCCGCCAGCGAAGCGCGTGGACGAGGGTCTGGGCGCGGGTGCAGAGGAAGTTGGGAGTGGCGGGAACCAGGGGTAGTCTGGAAGGCGGGGTCGATGGGCGAGGCTGGTTTGAGGGGGGCGGGGTCGCGTGGGCTAGGCTGGGGGGCGTGAGAAGCAGAGGGGATGTTGGGTGGGCGGCAGGGCGCTGAAGAAAAGGAACTCCAGGGAGACGCTCCGGTTGTGCCAGGAGCTCGTGGTCTTTTGGTCCGCTCTGCCTTCCTGTGCTTCTAAGACCTGTTTTATTATGAGAAAGCGAAAAGGCAAGGCGGCTAATGTTGCCTCTTCTCCCCTGCCCGAACCAGGCCTCCCCGATGTGTCGAACTGTCCCTGGATCCGTAGCTCGAAACCACCGCCTCTAACTTCTTCCTTCTGAGAAACTCTGCAGCCACTGTCATGGAAAAGTACCACGTGTTGGAGATGATTGGAGAAGGCTCTTTTGGGAGAGTGTACAAGGGTCGAAAAAAATACAGTGCTCAGGTGGTGGACGAAGAGGGCTGTCTTTTGGGTGGGATTCGGCACCCCAAACTCTAGTGGAAAACAGAGCCAGCGGCATGCATTTATACCGACCTGTATTCTTAAGGGACTCTCTCCTTCCTACATCTTAGGGAGCATGAGCCCTGCAGGTGGATTGCTGGGGTTCAGATCCCAGCTCCACTACTTTCTAGACTTAGATGAGATAGAGGGGGAAAGGAGGAAAGAAAAATGAAGAGGAAAGAAGAGAGTGCAGGTGGTTTCTCCCTTCCTGCATAGTATGATTAAGACGAAAAATAGTATTTATTTGTTTACTCGGTGCACTCGGAACACCTCTCCCAGAATCCACCAAAGCATCTGTTGAGCAGAGGATATATCCTCCTGGGCCAGGATGGGGGACTCCTGGGTAAGGCCAGGGTGCCATCCGTGGGGGAGGTGGAGGTAGGAGACTAACAGGTGTCATGGAGTTACTCAGACGATCTGCAGTCTGAGTTCTGGAGTTCTGAAGTTAGGCTGAGATTGTAGCTCTGTTCAGTGGCGTGGGGAGGCCCTGACTTGTCACTTTACCACTCACAGGTGGTGGCCCTGAAGTTCATCCCCAAACTGGGGCGCTCAGAGAAGGAGCTGAAGAATCTGCAACGAGAAATGGAAATCATGCGCGGTCTGCGGCACCCCAACATTGTGCACATGCTCGACAGCTTCGAGACTGACAAGGAGGTGCGCTCTGGTGGTTTGGGGTCACTTCTCCCCAAGCCTGGGGTCCCAGGAATGTCGCAGCCCCATGACGCAGGCCTCGGCTCTGCAGGTGGTGGTGGTGACGGACTATGCCGAGGGGGAGCTCTTTCAGATCCTGGAAGATGATGGAAAGCTTCCGGAAGACCAGGTACATTTCTGGGCTTGCACTGCCTCCCGCCCCTGACCTCCCTCCAGTGGAAGGGCTGGTGGAGCAAGCTGGGGATGCTGGGAGTCTCCATTTCAAAGACTCCCCAGAAGAATCCAGGTGTAGATGGAGGCGGGGTGGTGTGAGAGGAACACTGAACACTGAAGCTGCAGTATCTGAGTGCTAAGCCTGATGCCCCTTGCTAGCGGCCTCGTGGACAAGCTACCTCTGTGCGTAGTTCTCTCTGTGCTTAATTTTCTCATTTGTAAAATGAGAATGACAGTACATCTGCCATATAAGGCTTTTGCGAGGATTATTGAGTGATTCATGTAAAGTGTTTAAGCAGTGAGCCACAGTTAACGCTGTTGTTAGGTATCTTTAGGGAAGAAGGGCTACTGCATTGGTCTGGGAGAAGGATGTGTAGTCAGGCAGGGTTCGCCTCCAAGGACATAGTAATTAGCAATGGATTTTTTTTTTCTTAAGATTTTATTTATTTATTGAGAGGTAGAGTTACAGAGAGAGGGCAAGACAGAGAGAAAGATTTTCCATCCTCTGGTTCACTCCCCAAATGGCCACCATGGCCAGAGCTAGGCCTATCCCAGGCCAGGATCCAGGAGCTTCTTCTGGGCCTTCCACACGGATGCAGGGACCCAAGCACTTGGGCCATCTTCCATTGCTTTCCCAGGCCATTAGCAGAGAGCTGGATTGGGAGAGGAGCAGCCGGGACATGAACCGGCGCCCATGTGGGATGGCGGTGCCACAGGCAGAGGCTTAGCCTACTGTGCCACAGTGGCGGCCCCTAGCAGTGAGATTTGGGTGAACATACTCTCCAGCTGCATTCCTCGTAGGGTTTCTTTGAACTGGTGCAAGTAGGCCCATCTCTGAACTTCTTATCACAATGCGCTCTCCCTGTGAGCGCTCACAGGCATTTCTAAGTAATCGTCTTACTCATTTTATCTGTCTCATTCATTTGACTACTTCTCTTGACTTTGTCTCATGTAATAACACCTGCTGTATATTGAATCTTCACTAAGTGCCAGGCAGCATTCTGAGCAGGACTTGACATACTTAGACCCCTCAGTCCTCACGAGAATCCCACAAGGTTGGTGGTATCTGTTTTGGCATCTTATTGATAATGAAGCTGAGTGACGCTCAACAGTTGGCCCACGGCCTTTCAGCTAGTTAGTGAGATTCAGTAATTTTCCACGAATGGGTGAATGAAGAAGTGAAAGAATGAATTCCCAAGGGGAACAAGCACTAAGGCAGGTGTAGTGCAAAGAAGGGGGAGGCAGAGGAGACCCCGGCAGCAGCAGCATCAGGAAGTCTTTGGGCAGGTGAGCTGGCTTCATCCTCTGACTTTTGCTTTCTTCTTGCCACCTGCCTGGCTCCTAGGTCCAGGCCATTGCTGCCCAGCTGGTGTCGGCCTTGTACTATCTGCATTCCCACCGCATCCTGCACCGCGACATGAAGCCTCAGAACATCCTCCTCGCCAAGGGTGGCGGCATCAAGCTCTGTGACTTTGGGTCAGGATTCCGAGCTTCCAGCCTGCAGTCTCGGGGGAGGCTTGACCTGTCTGCTTGACTTCCTGGGGCCCCATTGTAGAACCTGAACCAGACGTGGGTACTCTGGCTGGGTCTTTTGGATCTATTCAGATACCCTCTGCTCTTGTCTGGGCTCTCTCATACAAGAATAGGCAGTGTGACTAAGACTAGGTTTTTTTTTTTTTCTTTTTCTTTTTTAAGGGTAAGCAAGACAGCAAAGTTCAATAAGAATACCGCTGATAGGCCAGGTGGGCGTCTCAGCCAAGAACTGAGCACACAGGCCTCGTTTTCTAGTAGTGACCAGAACTGAATAGCTGCTCCCTGTCCATCCCCATCCTGTCGTCTCCCGCAGATTTGCCCGGGCCATGAGCACCAACACGATGGTGCTGACATCCATCAAAGGCACACCACTGTATATGTCTCCAGAGCTGGTGGAGGAGCGACCGTACGACCACACGGCAGACCTGTGGTCTGTGGGCTGCATCCTGTATGAGCTAGCTGTAGGCACCCCTCCCTTCTACACCACCAGCATCTTCCAGCTGGTCAGCCTCATCCTCAAGGACCCTGTGCGCTGGCCCTCCACCATCAGCCCGTGCTTCAAGGTACTGAATGTTGAGAGGGACTTTACCTTTAGAGCAGGAACCTGTGTCCTTTTACCCCCTGTTCTCCTTTCCAAAATCCTTTCCCAGAGCTGGGGCAGGACTGAGTTAGCGCAGGAACTGGGCCAAGCAGCCTTGTTTTCCTGTTGCGGGGCTTATTCCAGGAGGGTGTCCTAAGGTCTGCAAACCTAGGGGTGATAGGCTATGGGCTAACACAAGGCAAAGAGAATTTCAAGATACCGTAGACAGATACTGGCCCTTTCACACAGACAGATGCTGGCCCTTTCACATGCCCTGTGTTCCATTTCCTCTCAGGTGCTACGTCCAGTTGATAGTTGGTTGTTGCCTACGTAGCATCCAGTGCTCTGTAGGCATCAGAAAGCCAGAGCTGATGGGGGCTGGCTCAGTGATTGGAGACAGAGGCAGCAGCTGCTGGTAGCAGCTAGACCTCAGCAGGCTGGGAGAGGGAGGGAGAGAGGGGAAGGAGTACTGACCCTTTTGATTTCTTGTCTAGGACAAGGTGATGGCCCTGCAAAGCAGTATGAGGGCAGTCTTTCCCCCGAGTGAAATCTCATTGCCATTTTCCTTTGCTTTATCTAAAATGAGGAAGGCCAAGTTTCTACCCAGCTTGCTTAGTTGGGGGGGCCCAAATAGTTATCAAAGAGAATCTAACAAAGGAACCTCAGACAGGGGGAGGTAAATACAGGATATTCATTCCCCCTTAGTGCAAATACGTAGGTATCTTCAGCAAGAGCCATACTTCTGCAAATCACCTTGTTCGGAATAGTGGTCCTAATCCACTAGTCCCTTCCATTCCGTTTTTGGGCCAAATTTTCCCAAGGATACTTCGTAAGTTGAACCTATTTCAGAGTCCGTCTCCCTGTACCTCCACTACCTGATGATTTGCTGACACGTATTTGCCCTTGAGTGTTCCCAAACACATCTTCCCGCAATTATTACTTGTGCATCTGAGAAGCCTCTGTCCCTGCCCAGCCACAAACCGACCCTCATCAAAGGGAGGGCAGAGGGACGTCCCCTTGGACCTTTGCTGTCTGAAGATGACGGTGAACATGACTTCCCTCTTCCTCTCAAGTTTCTTCTTCCTTCTACACAAAGTTGGTGGCTTTGAGATTTCCGTTTCTACCTCTGGCGTTACAGAGTGTCCGCGAGCAGGGATTGGCGCGCCTTAGGAGGTGAGGTAGTCGTCTGCCCATGATTTCCCAGGAAAATGAGGCCTCCGCAGAGGGTTACAGAGGGTGCGACCCGGAGCAGCCAGTTTGCTGGAAGAACAGGTGCAGGGGTCTTGACCTGCCTGTTCTGTTGATAAGTTTGAGAGAAGAGCAATGGCTATTTTTCTCGTCACAGAACTTCCTCCAGGGACTGCTCACCAAGGACCCCCGGCAGCGTCTGTCCTGGCCAGACCTCTTGCATCATCCCTTTATTGCTGGTCGTGTCACTAGTGAGTCCTCAGGGTTCCCGGGGCTCCTGCTCTTCCCAGGCCCCTCCCCAGTCTGCGCTCCCTCCCCCCCACATCTGGATCCAACATGTCTTCTTTCTGCACCCCCTTGAACTTTCTTCCTTGCCCTTTGCCTAACCTTTGCCCCTTCCCGGGTAACCCCCTCCCCTCTTTGTCACTTTGTCAAAAGGGTCTCCTTCCACAGAAGTCTGGAGACACTGAAGGTGCCCCTGGCCAGTGGACTTGGTGGCTACAGGCCTAGTATGATCATACCTTCCCCCTCCTCTCTCCCTGCAGTTGTAACTGAACCGGCAGGTCCAGATTTGGGTACCCCATTCACCAGTCGCCTACCTCCAGAACTTCAGGTCCTAAAGGATGAACAGGCCCATCGGCTAGCCCCCAAGGGCAGTCAGTCCCGGATCTTGCGTCAGGCCTATAAACGCATGGCTGAGGCAGCCAAGCAGAAGGTGTGTAGGGCAGACAGCAATGTGTAATATGACCAGGCAAGGGACTGGGGGAGTTGAAGGAGCATGGCTGTTTAGGGTTGAGAAGGGGCCTGAATAGGATCAGGACTGCCCCCGCCAGCCACCAAATAGTTCTGATCCAGTGCCTGCCACCTGCCTGCCACAGAAACACCAAAGCACAGGACGTGCCCCGGAGCAAGAGGACAGGACCAGCCAGGCAGCTGCTGACACAGCCCCTCTGCCCAGACCAAGGGGGACTCCTCAGGAAGCAAGCCTCTTGGCTGGGATCTTGGCCTCAGAAATGAAGAGCAGCTGGGCTGAGTGGGGGCCTGGAGAGGCACCCCCTGCACCTCGGTGAGCAGCGGATAGCTAGGGATGTGCAGGGTGGGATTTCTTGCAGGTGTTTGGCTACAAATAAGAACTGGTTCCTGTCATTAGCCCACGCCTAAACTGGGACAGGGCCTTGGGAGTCAAAGAATTTGGGTTCTAATTGGAGCCCCTTTCTTGACTGCTCAGGAAACTTGGGGACTTTCTCTTCTTCATGCCTCAGTGTGCATTGACTAAAAGGGAAAAGATCACATCCATCCAAAGGAGAAGATTCTTTGAGTTGGGAGGAGTAGGTGGGGACTGCAAAGCAGACTCGGACTCGAGAATATGGTCTGAGAGGGAGGACAGCCATGGACGTGTGTGGGCTGCACTGGCCGCATCCCCTGTCTTGGAAGGAAGGCTCCTCTGGCCTGTTCCTTGGCCTAATGAGAGGGGCAAGTTACTGAATCCTGAGCCCACAGGCCTGGGACTCACCCTGCTCCCTGGCTTCCTCTGGCAGCGAGAACCGGAGCACCGCAGACGGTGGACAAGGATTTGCAGAGCCGAGACCCGAGGCGGTGAGCCCGCGCAGCATCAGTGCAGTGAAGCCGGAAAACGAGGTGAGCCCCAGGGCCGCCTCTTGGCCGCCTTCTGCCACAGGAAGTTGGGTCTGGGCGGATGGTATTCTAGAACGGGAATTCCCGACTCTTAAGTATGCGCTTCCTTGGTGTTAAAAACTGCTTTGTTATAGATTTTAATTTTACAGTATCTGAACAAGTAACTCTCCAAAACAGAAAGGCATAGGTAAACGTGAAACTCCCCCTCGACCCTACCTCAGCCTTAGAGGTGACTACTGGTGTTTATTCTGTCTCCTCCGACACTTTGTGCTTTTATGTAAATGTATATATGTGTAAGAAAATTGACAGCTTGGCGGTTTTTATGTTGCTGGTTCATGCCTGTTTATATTGTTTGGCTTCATGCCCCTTTTACCACCTGATCTTTTTTAGGGATCTTTTTCATCAGAGCGTGCAGTTCTACCTCAATCGTTTGTGATTTTTTTTTTAAAGGATTTTAACTTGGAAACAATTTCGAAGAGTAATGGGGAGAGTATTACAAAGAATTCTAGCATGCTTTCGTCTTGGTCTGTTTTGTGCTGCTGTAACAGAATACCTGGGACTGGGTCATTTATAAAGAACAGGAGTTTGGCTGTTGTGATTCTGTGAGCTGGAAAGGTCAAGATGAAAGTGCCGGCAGGTTAGGACCCAATCTGGGATCCAAGGTGTCTCCTTGAATGACCATCCTTTGGAGGGAAGGAATGCTGAATCCTTTTTTTTTTTTTTTTTTTTTTTTTTGGACAGGCAGAGTGGACAGTGAGAGAGAGAGACAGAGAGAAAGGTCTTCCTTTTCTGTTGGTTCACCCCCCAGTGGCTGCTGCCACCGGCCGGCGCACCAAGCTGATCCGAAGCCAGGAGCCAGGTGCTTCTCCTGGTCTCCCATGCAGGTGCAGGGGCCCAAGCACTTGGGCCATCCTCCACTGCCCTCCTGGGCCACAGCAGAGAGCTGGACTGGAAGAGGAGCAACCAGGACAGAATCTGGCGCCCCTACCGGGACTAGAACCCGGGGTGCCAATGCTGCAGGCGGAGGATTAGCCTAGTGAGCCGCAGCGCCAGCCAGGGTCCTTTTAAAAGTCGAAAAAGAGCAGAATAGAGTGAACCTGCTCCCAGGAACCCTTCTTACGGTGGCGTTAATCCATGTGTGCAGGTAGAGCCTCCAGACCTAGGCACCCCCAGTAGGCCCCACCTCCCAGCAGCTGCAGTGGGAAGTGAGTGCTTCTCATGGGTGTTGGGAGAGGACAGACGCGTTCAGACCTTGGCAGCCCTTTCATCTAGACTCTACGGCCTTTGCCATGTCGTCACGTTTGCTCTGTGACTGTCTCTCTGTGTATGTGGGCACAACATCTTTCTGGGTCATCGGAGGGTAACTGGTAGACTTATCCCTGCACCCCCAAATTCTTTAGTGTATATTTCCTGAGAACAAGGTCATTTCACTGGCACTTACATAGCACAAGTACAGAAGTCAGAAACTTAACATTGATAATACTGCTATTGTAATAATAAATGGATTAATTAGCTAACCTATAATTCATCTTCAAATTGGGCGAATTGTTCCAATAATGGACTTTATAAAACGTTTTCCTGGCCCATAATCATCCAGTATCACACATTGTGCTTAGTTGTTACACCTTGCTGGTCTCCTTTAATCTGGAAGAGTCCCTAGTTAGTATCTTTGTACTTTGATTTATTTTTATTTATTTGAAAGGCAGAGTTACAGAGAAAGGGAGAGACACAGAGAGCGATCTTCCATCCCAAATGGCCACAATGGCCCAGGCTGGGCAGGCCGAAGTCAGGAGCTACGGACTCCATCTGGCTTTCCCGCATGAGTGACTGGGGCCCAAATACTGGGGCCGTCTTCGGCTGCCTTCTGAGAGCACTAGCAGGGAGCTGGGTTGGAAGCAGAGCAGCTGAGACACAAAGCAGCGCCCCGACACAGGATGCTGGTGTCGCAAGTGACAGCTTAAACCTGCCGTGCCACAACACCGGCCCCTATTTTTGCTTTTTAAATGATGAACTGTGCTGCAGTGGGTGTGTTTCTGGATATCTCTTTATGCACACATGCCACTGTCTCCCAAGAGACTTTTCAAGTATTTCACCTACTGCCAGCTGCATCTATTTAAAAATGTTATTCCTTTCCTTCCTTCCTTCCTTCCTCCCCTCCCTTCCCTTCCCCTCCCCTCCTCTCCTCTCCCCTCCCTTCCCCTCCCCTCCTCTCCCCTCCCCTTTCCTCAAGAGGTAGTTACAGACAGTGAGAGGGAGAGACAGGAAGGTCTTCTGTCCATTGGTTCACTCCCCAAATGGCTGCAATGGCCAGAGCTGCGCCAATTGGAAGCCAGGAGCCAGGTGCTTCCTCCCATGCTGGTGCAGGGGCCCAAGACTTGGGCCATCTTCCACTGCTTTCCCAGGCCACAGCAGAGAGCTGGATCAGAAGAAGAGCAGCCGGGACTAGAACTGGCGTCCATATGGGATGCTGGCGCCGCAGGCAGAGGATTAACCTAATGAGCCATGGTGCCGGCTCCTCATTTACTTATTTCTATTTTATGTGAAAGGCAGATAGAGATGAGATAGACATTGAGACAGAACGAGATTTTCCATCGGCCGGTTTACTTCTGAAATGCCCACAACAGCCAAGGCTGAGCCACGCTGAAGCTAGAAACCCAGAACTCCACCCAGGTCTCCCATGTGGGTAGCAGGGACTCAAACCCAGGCCCTCGGATATGGGACGCGGGGTCCCAGGTGGCGATTACTGCGGTGCCGCCATCTGCACCTCAGTCACTGAAGAGCTGCAGCCGTGCTGAGGAATGCCTGGCTCCTCACAGCTGCTTCAGGCTTGCCCAGGGCTTCTGGCCCCAGCTGGGAGCTGCGGTCCTTAGACTTCCACGCTCTCCTGACCTCCTTCCCTCCCTGCGCCGCAGGAGCCAGACAGCGATGAAGAGTGGCAGCACCTGCTGGAGACCCTCGAGCCTGTGCCCATTCAGCTGAAGGCCCCCCTCACCCTGCTGTGCAACCCCGACTTCTGCCAGCACATCCAGACTCAGCTGCACGCGAGCGGAGCGCAGGTAACGGGCGGCCGGCTGCCGAGGTGGGGCCAAGACCGCTGTCGGAGGTGAAGCATCAGAAAACATGCGCTGACGTCCGGTTCCCCCGGCTACCTGCGCAGTCTGCTGACCTCCTTCAGCAGCCCGGAAGGAGCAGGCCTCGCGTGCTCTCTGAAGGAGAAGTATCTGTCTAGAGCAGGGCTCAGCAAACTTTGTCTGATAAATATTTTAGACCTTATGGGCTAAGAGGGTAATGCGTAAGTACTGTATAATGAAGGAAAGCACACTTTCACTAATTTTATTGACACAGTTAAAAATATTTAACAATTGAGTGTACAGTATTTTGTGCTACTATGTAATGAGAAGAATGAGATTCTAGGTTTTTTTTTTTTTTTTTTCCCCACTTTATGTGAAAGACAGAGAGAGAGAGTCAGAGAGTTTCTGTCTGCTAGTTCACTCCCAAGTGCCCACAACAGCTGAGGCTGGGCCAGGCTGAAGCTAGAAGCCCAGAACCTAGTGCAGGTCTCCCATTTGTGTGGCAGGGACCCGAGTACTTGAGCCATCGCCTGCTGCCTCTCAGGGTGCACATTAACAAGAAGCTGGATTGGAAGCAGAGGAGCCGGCGTTCTGATAGGGGATGCAGCATCCCAAGCAGCTCCTTAACTGTTGTGCCAAACACCCACCCGAAGAATGAGGTCTTCTGTCCATTGGTTCATTCCCCAAATGGCTGCAACGGCCAGAGCTGCGCCAATCGGAAGCCAGGAGCCAGGTGCTTCCTCCTAGTCTCCCATGTGGGTGTAGGGGCCCAAGGACTTGTTAAGGGGATAACTTGCTTAATCAGCAGCTAAAATTTTGCTGCTTTGAAATACATGGGAGACCAGGAGAAGTACCTGGCTCCTGCCTTCGGATCAGCGCGGTGCACCGGCCGCAGCGCGCCAGCCGTGGCGGCCATTGGAGGGTGAACCAACGGCAAAAGGAAGACCTTTCTCTCTGTCTCTCTCTCTCACTATCCACTCTGCCTGTCAAAAAACAAAAAACAAACAAACAAAAAAGAAATACAGTGCTCTCCTGGGAACTCACCAAAATACGTTACTTGTATCTTTTGCCCTCTTTTGTTTCCCCCTTTTTTTTCTAAAAGTTCTTATAAAAAACTTCACTGAGGTATAATTTTTAAAAAAGATATATTTATTTATATGAAAGGTTTCAGAGAGATGCGAAGATCTTCCACCCTCTGGTTCACTCCCCAAATAGCTGCAACTATCAGGGCTGGCCCAGGTGGACGCCAGCAGCCTGGAACTCCTGTGGGTGGCAGGGGCCCAGTCACCTGGGCCATCCTCTGCTGCTTCCCCAGGTACGTTAGCCAGGAGCTGGACTGGAAGTGGAGCAGCTGAGAACCGAACCAGCACTCTTATGGGATGCTGGCATCGCAGACAGCGGCTTAACCTGCTGCGCCACAATGCCAGTCCCTACAGAGGCATAACTTATGTGCCATAAAATTACTCATTTCGGGTGTTCAGTCAGTGACTTCCAGTAAGGCTGCCAGGTTGTGAAACGATCACCAGAGTCTGTTTTCAGAGCGTGGGATTCCTCATTCCCATCTCCAGTTACTCACCTCCCAGGCCTGGCGAGCACCGCCCCACTTCCTGTTCCATAGATGTGCCTTTGCTGTACATTTCATATACCTGGAATCACCCGATACTCGTGATGCGTTTGAGGTTTATTCGTCATGTGCCTGCACATGTACTTCCTGCCTTTCATTGCTGATTGGTAGTCTGGCCTATAGGTATTATCACATTTTGTTTACCCCCCGGCTGTTTGTGCTTTTTTGGCTTTCATGAGTAATGCTGCTGTGCATATCCACAAGCAAAGTCTGTGAGTGGGTATGTGCTTTCATTTCCCTCGGGCAGCTACTTGGGAGTGGAACTGCTGGGTCTGACAGTTCCCGAGGGGAGGCCCCTGTCCCTGGGTCACTGCTGTTCTGTGTCAGGTGACTGACCTCCACAGTCTTCCTCCCTGGGACAGGTCCCCTGCGTCCCTGCTCTCCTGCTCTGCCTTTTAGATTCCCAAAGTATGGGACACACACCTCCGGTCTGCTCTGCCAGCCCCTTGTGGACACTTGGCACCTGTGGCCGTCCGTCGTCCACCTCTGATGACGTTGACCGCTCTCTCTTTCCTCTTGTCATCCAGATCCTGAAGGGCAGCCTGGAAGGGGCTTCCCACATCCTGCCGGCTCTGCGGGTCCTGAGCAGTCTCCTCTCCAGCTGCAGTGACTCCGCCCCCCTGTACTCCTTCTGCCGGGAGGCGGGGCTGCCTGGGCTGCTGCTGAGCCTGCTCAGGCACAGCCAGGAGAGCAGCAGCATCCAGACGGTAAGCGCCAGGCAGGGGCCTGCGGCTCCGACAGGAGGTCCTTCCCTGGGCTGCCTCCTTCAGGCTCCCTTCTTTGTTTGGCCTGTCTTCCTTTTCTCTCTTCCTCTGGCTGGTCAGCAGACTGTGACTAGTGAGCTCTGATATCGCCAGTGGCCAGGCAGATCATGTCCTTCCAGGGTGTGATCCTGCGCGTCTAGGCCACCACCCGGAGAGGACAGCCCCCTCTCAGTGGGGCGCCCTCCCCTCAGTCCTGGCCCACTGTTGCCAGAACGTGCAGTGTTCCAAGAAAAGGTAGAAATCTAGATTTTGACACATTTCCCAGTAATTCAAGTATGATGCTTTGACATGTGAGAGCCTGGGCGCTGCCCATCCGACTGAACGGAGCAGGATACTGAAGTCCAGCGGTTAGCTAACGTAGCCCCAGTCACTGAGTCGGGGACAGTCACGGAAACAGTAAGTAGAGAGCCAGGATCGAGTCTGCATGTGTTTGAGGCCAAACCTCTGCGTCCCCGTGCCGTGTGCCTCCGTGGGTCCCGGAGGGGAGGGGACCTCCAGAGCCAGGGTGAGGGCGTGTTTCCTGGGGCCTAGGCCAAAGCAGCCCGAAAGCTGCGCTTTGCTGACGAGGATTGATCTTAGGTGACTTTTAGGAGTTCAGAAAAAAAATTCTTTTGAAAAATAGACTCTGCTGCTGGAAAAGACTGTTCTACCCAAGGAAAACAGGGTTTCAAGCTGTTGACAGTCCACATCCTGACACTGTTACTGCTAGATTTTCTCTCTCTGCCCATGCTTCCTGCCCCCCATCCCTTTGTGCTTAGTCCACTTGCCCGGATCTCTGCCTTTTTTATTGCTGTCACTAAGTGTTGTCTCCAAACCCCACATGGCCTCTTTCTCCCCTCTTCCCCACAGCAACCCTGGTATGGGGCCTTTGTACGGGACCTGATGGCTGCCATGCAGGCCTATTTTGCCTGCACCTTCAATCTGGACAGAAGCCAGACAGGTGACAGGTGGGAGAAGAGGCACTTGTGCTCTGCTGGCCAGTTTGGTTTCAGTTTCTACCCCATGTTTTCCCCTCCCTCTTAGGAAGAGGCCAAGTGAGGAAGAAGCTGTGATTTGAGACAGGTTTAGGGCTCGGCTGAGTGCTCCTCAGAATACAGCCTGCCCCTAAGGACCCTGAGCCCCACCCCTGCTTTGCCCCCAGGCGTTCACATTCAGAGTCAGCAGTCACCATGGCCCTCAATGGAAGGGTCCAGATGTGAACAACCTAGAGAAAGTGGCAGAGATGGGGCCTAGAGGGTATGGATGTGAGACGTGTGTGTGTGTGCGTGTGCATGTGTGTGTGTGTATGTGAGGACTGTGTGTGCGCGTGTGTATGTGAGATGTGTGTGCACACGTGTGTGTGTGCATGTGTGTGTGTGTGTGCATGTGTTTAGTGAGGGGAGAAGAAGGCACTCTGCGTTCCTTTGCAGACACCTTCTGTATGCCGGGACCTGATCCACCCAGTCGCCACCTTGGGGCTTGGAGTAGAGCGGTGAGAAGAAGCTATGGGCGCCTTTCTTCCCAGCCTACAGGTGTTTCAGGAGGCTGCCAGCCTCTTTCTGGACCTGCTGGGGAAGCTGTTAGCCCAACCGGATGACTCCGAGCAGAGTTTGCGGAGGGACAGCCTTATGGTAATCTGCTCCCGCTTCAGATTTTTGTCTCTCTGTCTTTCTCGTGTTTCTTTTATCCCCATTTGAATGACTGTGTAGCATCAGACCCAAGCCGCTACCATAAGCATTTGTTGAATTCCCACAGTGCACCATAGGCACTTCAGGGACTTGAGAGTCTAGGAGTAGTCTAGCTGGGGAGAGTGAGCAGCAATGCGTTCCGAAGCACCGCTGAGGGAGGAGCCGTTCACGCTGGTAGGAGGATCCTAGAAGAAAGCTTGCGGAGTGCGCAGCAGGGTGCTGGGTGGACAACCCAGCAAAGTAGAGAGGACACTGCAGACAGAAAAAGGGGCGCATCAGGGCCCGGGGCATTAAGCCTTGTGGTGTATTTCAGGGGCCAAAAGTACTTGTTCTTGAAGAGAGTTGAGGATAATCTAGTATTCTGCCATCCTAAGGACTGGTAAGTTGAATTCTCTCCCCTAGGCCTTGGAGATGAGGGCAAGGAGAGTAGAGGGTTGAATGGGAAAATAGCTGAGCTTTGATCGCAGAGGAGATAGAGAGGAGCCCACGTGCAGAAGGGAAAATCTATCTGGTCTTTTTGAAACCGCTCATTGGGAGCACGTCCCTTCCGCAAGCCAGGAGTCCGTCCAGACGTTTCTAGTCTGGGGCCGTGCTTTAATAGCCCTGCCCTTCCGAGTCAGGAAGCTTCCATCTTCTGAGCTGCATTTGGCCAGCAGTAACTCAGGTTCTTGACCAGCACTTCGCATGGCAGTGTGCGTGAGTGGCATGGGGAGTTTGGCATAGTAACCCCGCCTCCTGCAATTCTGAATAAGCAGGATTGGGCTGGGAGAGACCCAGAGATTCCTGGGAATTCTTACACTCCTGGTCCACAGACAGTCTTTTGGGAGGAGCCCATCAGAGAGTAGAAGGATTGACCCCAGAAATTCTTGTCCTTGAAACGTGAGGCAGTGTTAATGCATTTTTGTGTGCAAGGAAGGCTTAGACCCAGGCAGCTGTTCCCCCTGAGTTTGTCCTCTTTCCCTGGGTTCTCAGGGCATTCTTGGTTCTTGCACTAAGCCAGTCGGTTTTCTGATGCCTCGATGCTGTCTCTGCCCTTGTCTGCTTTAGTGCTTTACTGTCCTGTGTGAAGCCATGGATGGCAACAGCCAGGCCATCTCCAAAGCCTTTTACTCCAGCCTGCTGACCACACAGCGAGTGGTGTTGGATGGGCTGCTTCACGGCTTGACAATGCCACAGCTCCCCTTCCACACCCCCCCAGGTAACGGGGTCGGGAGGGAAGGTCCCCTTGACTGTGTGTCGCATTGATGCGCTCTGCTCCAAAGCTGCCATCACCTGGAATAGTGCCTGGCATTTAGCAGGCGCTCGGCAGAGGGAAAGGTTGAGTGGATACCTGAGAGAAACGGTCCGAGCTCAGCCCGAATTCTTTGCCTTTCTCCCCAGGAGCCCCACAAGCAAGCCAGCCACTGCGGGATCTGAGTGAGGACCTGCCCGGAGCTGTTTCCTCTGCCCTGGCAGCCGTCTGTACTGCTCCAGTGGGACTGCCCAGCTGCTGGGAAGCCAAGGAGCAGGTCCGAGCTGCGCCTGCTTGCTCTTGACAGCCCTGCTGCCAGAGGAGTGGGCCCCAGTTTCTCAGAAAGGGCAGAGAACAAGCTTCGATGCCTCTCCTTACTTAGTACTACTGGGAACAGATGCTTGCCCCTGGGTGTGGAACATGACGCAGCCAGAGTCCCAGCACCCAGGGCCAGCTGGTGAGGGAGAGAGCTCAAGGAGAAGCCGCCCAGGTGCTGGGGTTGAGAGCCAGTGTGGCAGCCTCAGCGGCTCAGGATTCCGCTTCCCGACTCCCTGCTGGCTGCTAACACCTCCTCTCTACCTGCCTGCACTGGCGCCAAGCGGAACCGTGACTTTTGGTTCTTCCTGGGAAGAGAATGGGGTCTGGGATTCCCAGTGGCTGTCAAGGGGCTGAAAGTGTCCATCAGTTGGAGATCTGCAAGGCCTAGGATTGCACTGAGGGGATGGGATTGAGTCTTCAGCTGTATCTCCACAGGTCTCTTGGCATTTGGCAACTCAGCTGATTGAAGACAGCAGCCAGCTGAGGCCGTCCCTCGTCTCTGGCCTGCAGCACCCCATCCTGTGCCTCTCCCTTCTCAAGGTACATCCTTCCTGGAGCTCCCAGCAGCCACATTGTGGTGTGTGGCACGGACACAGGGACTGTGAGAAGCCAAGCAAGATGGACCCCGGAGGACTCCTTTCTGTCATCTCTTCTACTGAGATGCCTCCTGTTAGCCGGAACTGACGGGTCTCCCCATCTCAGGGTCTCAGAGCATGAGGCAGGAGTTCTCTGAGCCCCCAAGTGTGGGGACCAGCTCCGTTGAGAAGCTCGCTTCCTTTTCAGCTGAGCCCTCCGTGCTGGGAGCCCAGCAGCGGCTGCACCCACTGATGGACGCGTTTCTCCTGCCACAGGTGCTCTACTCCTGCTGCCACGTCAGCGAGCGCCTGTGCCGTCTCCTTGGGCAAGAGCCCCTGGCCTTGGAGTCGCTGTCGTTGGTGGTCCAGGGCAAGGTGGGCCAGCCACACAGGTGGGCATCTGCTGGCGGCCCCGCCCTCCCAGGCAGAGGTGGTTCTAACAGCTCAGTTTCCTCTGTAGGTAAAAGCAGCGGATCAGGAGGAGTCTACTGAAGTAGCCCTCTACCTCCTCGCCCTTCTGGTCTTCCGGCTTCAAGACCTGCCCTGCGGGTGAGCCATCAAGTGGGGTCTTTCTACCGAAGTCACCTGCCCGCCTGGCTAACTCAAGCCTACCCTGAGGAGGGACTGGGACAGAGAGAGTGAAGGTCTCTCTGTGAAAGACAGACCAAAGTTCCTCCCTGTTGTGCCTTGGAGGTGGCCTTGTAGCCTGGCTGGAGAGAGCACCGTGCCCGGGAAGCCACTGGCAGCCTCCCCTAACACTGCCGTCTCCTGTTCCAGCATGGAGAAGCTAGGCGGCGAGGTTGCTACTCTCTTCACCCATTCGCACGTCGTCTCTGTCGTGGTGAGTTTCCGGCCTTCCTCCTCCTCCCCCGTCCCCTGTGATCCGGCCCTGCTGGGAGTGGGCAGTCACTGTCCCCCTCGCAGCTGATTCTGAACAGGAGTAGAGAAGACAAGAGGTGGCTGTGGGGCACAAGGAGGAACCCCCTTTCTGCCTCTCCTGAGCTCTGTTCCCACTCCGCTTCCTCCTGTGCCTCTCCCACAGAGTGCAGCAGCCTGTCTGTTGGGACAGCTTGGTCAGCAAGGGGTGGCCTTCGAGCTGCAGCCCGCAGAATGGATGGCTGCAGCCACGCACGCCCTGTCTGCCCCCGCGGAGGTGAGGCCCACCAGGACGGCGCAGACGCGTGCTCTCCAGGCCAAACACTGGGGCCGCTCTCGGGGAGAAGCGGCAGCAAGCCCAGAGGCTCCTCTGGACGCAGAGTGCTCAGGGCCTCGGAGTCCTTCCACCGGGCTCTGAAGAGGGAGGGAAGGAGGAGGGGAGGTGGACTGAAGGTTCCCTGCCCTTCAGGCCTCTCATCCGGCGGCCCCGGCTGTCGCTGTGGAAGTGCTGCCTGAGGCCTGTCGGCCCCCTGTGCTGCCGCGTCGGGCCCCTGACTGAGGGGCAGAAGCAGCTGACGCCCTGTGGATTCTGCAGGAGCTCGCCTGTTGTGCAGCCCCCCTTCCGCTTTCTCCCTTTCCTGTGTAGACCCTTTGGAATGCACATTTCCCTCATTCTGTGAAAAGGAGGATAGACTTCATATTCACAGTACTGCATAGAGAAGTCTCATTATAAAGCACTGTTCACCTGCACTACCCTACAACACACTTGGAAGAGAGGCACACTGGATATGGTAATACTGCTCTGCCCTTCCTAGATGAAGGTGACCTTCAGAGAGGTTGGAGCAGTAGTGATAACATTACCGGTCATCCCAGACCCCATGTCAGAACCCCAGGAGTCATCAGAGACTACTGTCTCTGCCCATTATTCCGCAGGCCAGATGGCTCCCCCTGGCCTCCTTGTATTTCCCGCTGAGGTCGACTGTCTCCTCCCTCCGTGACAGCCTCACTGACCTGCCTTCGTTCAGAGGCCACTCCCTCCCTCTCAGGGGTCTGCAATCTTCTTGCCTCTCTGACAGGTCCGGCTGACTCCACCGGGTGGCTGTGGATTCTATGACGGCCTCCTCATCCTTGTATTGCAGCTTCTCACTCAGGTACATGTGCATCTTGGGGTGGGCAAGAAGTGGGGAGGGAGAAACTGGGCATTTAGGGAAAGCCACTGGACAATAGGAATGAGGATGTGCCCCATAGCCACCACCTGTCTTCTCATACTGTTGTGCCGTGGTAGCCTTAGAATTGTTCCATGATACCGGGTTCTAGTCCCGGTCGGGGCGCCGGATTCTGTCCTGGTTGTCCCTCTTCCAGGCCAGCTCTCTGCTGTGGCCCGGGAGTGCAGTGGAGGATGGCCCAAGTGCTTGGGCCCTGCACCCCATGGGAGACCAGGAGAAGTACCTGGCTCCTGCCATCAGATCAGTGCGTTGCCCCGGCTGCAGTGGCCATTGGAGGGTGAACCAACGGCAAAGGAAGACCTTTCTCTCTGTCTCTCTCTCTCACTGTCCACTCTGCCTGTCCAAAAAAAAAAAAAAAAAGAATTGTTCCATTAGCTGTCAGTGTGGACCCTTTGAAGGAAACCATCCCACTGCATCCCTCAGGCTTCAGTGGGGAGACAGACAGGTTCCCTGGTTTTTCACGGGCACACACATAGGTTCTCTGGGGAGGGGGAGGGATGTTATCATGTAATAAAAAGAAGAAATAGGAAACAGGGAATGCGAGATGAGAAAGCAGAAGAAATTAGATGTGGGCCTCCCTTTCCTTGGGGGCTAGAGACAGGAATGAAGAAGTGCGTTTGAACTGCGGACTGCTGCCTGCACGCTCTCTCCTGCCCCGCCTCCAGCAGGGGAAGGCTCGCCTGATCAGGGATGTGGCCGGCTCTGAGCTGTGGACCATTTTATGGCACCGCTTCTCCATGGCCCTGCGACTACCCGAGGAGGTGCCCACCCTGGAAGAGGAGCTGCTGCTGTCCGTTCCACCAAGCCCAGAGCCAGACTGGACGCTGATCTCACCCCAAGGTATCTCTGTGTCAGCACAAACACCCTGTGTGGGGCTCACGGATTGGTTGTCTTTAAGAGCAGACAGCCTGGAACTGGGGAAAACCCACAGACATGGCTGCTGCTGCTCAGGAGTGAGGGAAGGACTGCGTGGGTGGTGGCGAGGGAGCCCCGGGGAAGCGGGGGCATCTGTACTCCTGCCTGCTCCGCTGGGTCTCCGTTCTCTGTGTCTCCAGGCATGGCAGCCTTGCTGAGTCTGGCCATGGCTACCTTCACCCAGGAGCCCCAGTTATGCCTGAGCCACCTGTCCCAGCGTGGGAACATCCTCATGTCTACCCTGAAGCACCTACTTTCCCCCAACTTCCTGCATCACCTGGGCCAGGCGTGAGTCTGAGCTGGAGGGAGGAGAACGGACGATCCAGAGGCAGCAGCGGAGGTGGGGCGGGGGAGGCAGGAGAGAAGCAGCTGATGGCTTGAGTCTGAGGCAAGCTACGGGAGAAGGATCGGGCTAGAAACCTAAAGTGTCACTGAGTTCGGGGGAGGGGAGCTAGGGCGAGGGCTGGAGGAGAGGGAGCAGAGGATCATGGGCGAGGGGGAGGGGAGCAGGACCAAGCCTGTGCTTCTACACCCCCTTCCTTAGGCCTCACGGGCCTGAGTTTCTCCCTGTCGTGGTGCTCTCTGTCTGCCAGCTCCTCTGCTTCCCCTTCAGCCTGGATGTGGACGCCGACCTTCTCGTAGGTATCTTGGCTGACCTCAGGGACTCCGAAGTGGCAGCCCACCTGCTGCAGGTACTTGGGGAGCTATCCCAGCATTACGGTGGAAGAGGAAGGCGGCCAACCCCGTGTCCCTAATTACTGCACGTCAGCCGGAGCCAGCTCATGCCTCGCGGCCTCCAGCAGTCCCTCGGCCAGTTCTGTGGGAGCTCACTGGGGAGAACACTGATCCTGGCACTGGAGCCTCAGCTCCGTGGCTGGCAGGCCCTTCCCTGGCCATTTTTGGCATTACGCGGCGGGCGGGGCTTTGCACGCAGAGACCCAGCGCTTGCAGAGCAAGGAATGGACTTGGAAGGAACTTGCTCTACTCGTGGGCTGGTGCGCATTTCGTGGGGGGCGCCATGGGGCAGGACTTGCAGGACTCGGTGGCACTTCTCACCGAAGCACGCCTCTCTCTTCCTGCTTCTGGGCTCTGCCTAGCTGCAGTGCGCCCCTCGCACCCTGAATCCCTGCTTTCTGCGCCCCATTCTCCCAGGTCTGTTGTCACCGTCTTCCGCTGTCACAAGCCGAGCTGCCCATCAGCCTCCTCACACGCCTGGCCCTCACCGACCTCACCTCTCTCAACCAGTTTGTGAACGCAGTGTCTGCCTCCCCTCGAACCGTCACCTCGTTCCTTTCCGCTTCCCTCCTGGGTGACCAGCCACTGCTGACCTCTGACCTCCTGTCCCTGCTGGCCCACGCGGCCCGGGCGCTGGCTCCCAGCCACTTGTCTTTTATCCAGGAGCTCCTGGCTGGCTCTGATGAGTCCTATCGGCCCCTCTGCAGCCTTCTGGGCCACCCAGAGAATCTTGTGCGGGCCCGCACTTACGGGCTCCTAGGACACTTGTTCAGACACAGCATGGCCCTGCGCGGGGCACTGCAGAGCCAGGCAGGACTGTTCAACCTGCTGCTGCAGGGGCTTGGAGACAAGGACCCTGCGGTGCGGCGCAGTGCCAGCTTTGCTGTGGGCAACGCGGCCTACCAGGCGGGGCCCCTGGGACCTGCCCTGGCAGCGGCGGTGCCCAGCCTGACGCAGCTGCTTGGAGACCCTCAGACCGGTATCCGGCGCAATGCAGCATCAGCTCTGGGCAACTTGGGGCCAGAGGGATTGGGGGAGGAGCTGTTACAGTGCCAAGTACCGCAGCGGCTCCTAGAGGTGGCGTGCGGAGACCCCCAGCCAAGCGTGAAGGAAGCCGCCCTCATTGCACTCCGGAGCCTCCGGCAGGAGCCCTGCATCCACCAGGTAACTCCAGGTGACTCAGGAGCCGTGACAGTAGGGCCCTGCGGCTCACAGCGTTTCTCTGGGGTGTCTGTAAGAAAGTGGGACCCCAGAAACCCCAGCTGCACTCCTCCTGTGAGCTGGAAACCCAGAGTCAGGGTTTCTGTGTACCGGCTCCCAGCCTGGAGCAGGGAGGGGTGCGGAGGAGTGCTCCACAAGGCCGGGAAACGCCAGGCATCCCAAGGACCATAGCTCCCGTCTTGCAGAGGCTGGGGCGGGGGGGGTAGGCGAAGGAGCGGGGGAGGCTGGAAGATGCTGAGATGCAGAGTGGTTTCCCTGTGGGGGCCACGAAGGCGCTTGTTGTCTTTTCTAGCACTCGCCATGGGAAAGGCAGCCCGTTGAGCAGTTTGCCTTTGTTATCTGGGTTAAGCCATTCTCACCTTTGCAGGTGAGGGAACAGGGGCACAGATCATTTAATAACTTGTCCAGGTTCCAAAGCTGGTATGTAGGACTGGGTGTTTGAGCTCAGGTGTCTGAGTCCAGAGCCCGTGCTCTTGACCACTGCTTCATTTTGCTGCTTCCATTCAATGTGCAGTATACAAAGCGCTCAGTGGAAATCACCTGTCTACTCACGATAATGCAAATTTCTGATAGCCCAGTGTGATAGCATGGGGTAATTCATGGTAATGGTATTACAGGGATTTCTGACAATCCAGGTGGAGAAGGAATAAAAGTGATTCTTGGTGGTAATGAGGATAGGACCCACGGTTCTGGGTCCGAGGCTGGCAGTCAGACCTCGGCTCATCTGTCAGTCACGGCTGCATTTATCACCTCCTCCTGGGGTCAAGTGTACAGGTCCCCGGGTGCCTGGGTTTAATTGTCTGTAGCCAAGGAGATTGGGAAGACCCCTCTGGTCCCAGTGATTCCTGTCTCCAAGCTGTGTTTTCTGGCATTCACTCTCTTCTGAGTCCCCAAGAGCCCATTGCCTTTGTCTTCCTTTCCTGGAGTAGGGATTGCTGGGCTAAATGAGAATTCTCTGCATCTCCCCCAGACACCACTGCTTCGGAGCCTCATGCCCTGTTCTGTCCTGCAGGTGCTGGTGTCCCTGCGTGCCAGCGACAAATTAGCCTTGCTGTCTCTGGGGAATCAGCTGCCACATAGCAGTGCCAGGCCTGCCTCTGCTAGACACTGCAGGAAACTCATTCAGCTCCTGAGGCCGACCCACGACACGTGATCCTGCATCCCTGGGCCCAGCCGCCAACCTTCACTGGCCTGTGTTATTGCCAAGTCTCCTTTATTCTACCACACAAGCCACCTGCTGAGCCAAGAGCTTGAGACTTACAAAGAGTGATAAAGCTGCCAACTCAACTGAGAACAACAAACCAGAAGAGATTTATGTATAAAGCTGCTTCCTGCCCTCAGATTCAGGATGATTTCAGCCAGTAAACATCACTGCTGCTGGTGCCAGAGAGGACTCCTTCCTTCTCTCCGTCCAGAGATCCTTCCTCCAGGAATGTGCCTTTCGCCCCAGGAACACGCCTCCTGGCCTTAGGGAAAGACCACCCCCCGAGGCAGCTCTTCCTTTCTGGAGCTCCTGTAGTCTTCCCAGCAGGTTTTGCTTTAGGTGCACTGGTCCCAGGACAGCGACGCACACAGAGCCTGTCTCAGCTCTGGGCCCTGGGGATACATGCCATCAGTCCCCGTCGTTGAGGGATTCTTCAGCCCTTGGCCCACATTCCCATCTGTGGGTGGGTGGTGGGGAGTCTATCTTTTTTATAGTTGTGTTTGTAAACTCTTTTAATAAAAAATGTGCCTTAACCCTACTTGGAGCTCCCACAGCAAAGAGTTGGGAGTCTCAGCCCCTTAACTTCTGTGTGGTCCTGGAAGCACGGGTTCTGTTTGCACAAGACCCTCCTGTCTGTCTGGCTTTGCCTGCATGCCAGCTGCCTCCATCCTGAATGAGCTACACGTGGTCACCTCCTCCTAAGCCAAGGCCCGCAGAGCTGAACTAGGAGAAGGTTGGGATTAAACAGAGAGGTTTATTGGGTTGCTTCGAGACCTTAGGCTGAGTGACTGGTTTGAAGCGTTTAGAGGAATTTCAACGTATAGGAGAAGACAGCTGTTTACAGAGATGTGACCAAAACAGTTATTTGGCAGATCTGTTACCTAGATTCATTATCTTAACTGGAAATGCAGGATCTTCAAAAAGTTCATGGAAAACGTATATTATGAAAAATCCATGTGTTTAAAAAAATTTTGCCCCCAAATAAACTTAACTTTCAATTCCATGTTCCATAGGTATTTGAAAATACCCTGGCACTGCAGAGCCTACAGCTTGACTCACTGGATGGCTGAGGACAAGCGTCTAGGCTCTGGTCGCTCATCTGTTAAGTGGGGGAGACTTCTTTCTGTTCTCCCTTGAGTTCTAGTTATGTTTTTAAAAGATTTACTTATTTTATTTGAAAGGTAGAGTTAGAGGGAGAGGCAGAGAAAGAGAGAGAGGGAGGGAGGGAGGTTGGTCTTCTCTCTGCTGCTTCACTCCCCAGATGGCTACAACGGCCAGAGCTGCGCCGGTCTGAAGCCAAAAGCCAGGAGTTTCTTTCGGGTCTCCCATGTGGGTGCAGGGGCCCAAGCACTTGGGCCACCTTCTGCTTTCCCAGGCCATAGCAGAGGACCTGGATCGGATGTGGAGCATCTGGGACTCGAACCAGCACGCATATGGGACGCCAGCACTGCAGGTGGCAGCTTTAACTGCTACGCCTCAGCGTCAGCCTCAAGTTCTAGTTATTTTACAAATGAAAGATGAATAAGGTGCACTTTTTTTTTGATAAGGGATTTTATTTAGTCCTCACCTTCATTGTTCCATGTGTTTACAAAAATAACATTTTTTTCTAGGGACTATCATTTCCTGCTATACGTAGTATTTGAATTCAACGTATTTGTAAAATGTTTATTTTCATCCACTTGAAAGGGAGAGCAACAAAAATAAAGAGACAGAGACAGAGAGCTCTTCCATCTGTTGATTCCCTCCTCAGATGCCTGCAGGATCCAGGACTGGGCCAGGCTGAAGCCAGGAGCCTGGAGCTCCATCCGTGCCCCCCACACGGTTGGCAGGGACCCAAGCACTTGATCTGCCACCTGCCTCCGAGGATGCATTAGCATCAAGCTAAATCAGAGGCGGAGGTGCTGGGGCTTGAACCAACATTCTGATATGGGATGTAGGTGTCCCAAGCAGTGGCTTAACCCGTCGCATTACAACGATTGCCCCTACTTTTTATTTATTGGGAAGGCAGAGCTATAGACAGGGGTGGGGGTGGAGAGAGATACCTTCCATCCGCTGGTTCACTTTTCAAATGAACTGGGTCAGGCTGTAGCTGGGAACAGGGAACCATCTGGGTCTCCCATGTGGGTGGCAAGGATCCAAGTACTTGAGCCGTTACCTGCTGCCTTCCAGGGTGCAGACACCAGGAAGCTGGAATCAAGTGGAGAGAGGACCTGAACCCAGGTCCTCTGATATGAGATGTGGGCATCCAAATGGTGTCTTAACTACTGTGCCAAACATCCACCCTGAATTCAAGGTATATATCTATATCTATCTATCTATCTATACATATACCTATGTGTGTGTGTGTGTGTGTATGTATATATGTAAGAATGTATGTATGTATGTATGTATACATATGTATATATGTAAGAATCTTCCATCTGCTGGTTCACTCCCCAAGTGGCCACAACAGCCAGGACTGGGTCAGACTGAAGCCAGGAACCAGGGGCTTTTTCCAGGTCTCCCACGTAGGTGCAGTATTCCAAGTACTTAGGCCTTTCTCCACTTTTCCCAGGCACATTAGCAGGGAGCTGGATCCAAAGTGGAGCATCTGGGGCTTGAACTGGTGCCCACATGGGATGCTTGTGTCACAGGTAGCAGCTTACCACGCTACACCACAACACTGGCACTCAAGATATATTTAATGAATCCTTTCTTATGTGTCAGATACTGTTCTAGGCACTGGAGATTAAAAAAAATACCTGTCTGTTATAAGAGTTTCCATTCTGGTGGAGGGAGGTAGTGAATATAATAAAATAAGTGAATTATATATAGTAAGTAGGAAAGTGTTACAAGCTCTGGAGAAAGATACAGCGGTGAAAAGGGGTCGAGGAGGGCTGGGTTGGTCAGGATAGGCCTCTTGGGAAGGTGAAATTGAGCAAGGACTGGAGGAGGTGAGGGAATGGGTGTGCAGAGAAAGTGATCGCTTTCGAGGGACTGAGATGGAGAGGTGCCTGGTGCACTTGAGCAGCTAAGAGGAGCCAGCTTGGATGGAGTAAGGTAAGGAGGGGGAGCGTAGTAGGACATGAGGCCAGGAAGGCCATGGCGAGGTCAGGTGTTGACTTTGTAGACCTGGGTGAAGGCGTGGGGTTTTACTCTGAATACAGCAGGGATCTGTTGGAGGATTTGCTCAGGGAGGTGACGGGATCTGTATGTGCTGAAAGGATCACACTTCGTTCTGTTTGCAAATGTGTTGTGGGTCAAGGTGGGTAGAATCGAGGGGAGAGAGAATGGTATTTTGGACTCAGGTGGTACCAGTGGGGTGGTAAGAAGCCATATTTTGAATGTTTTAAACATGGAGCTAACAGTTCTTAACTGACCGTGTGACCAGAAAAGGAGTCAGACATGGCTAAGAGTTTTGGCCCAAGCTACTGGAAGGATGGGATTCCCATGAACTGAATGGGGAAGACCAATGGAGGGGTAACGATAAGAAGATTCACATTCAGTTGTGGTTTAAGATTTATTTTATTTATCTGAAAGGCACAGTTAGGAAGTGAGGGAGAGAGACAGAGAGAAAGAGCTATTCCATTTGCTGGTTCACTCTCCAAATGGCCACAGCAGCCTGGGGCTGGGCCAGATCTAAGCCAGGAGCTCAGAGCTGCTTCTGGGTCTCCCACATGAGTACAGTGGCCCAAGCACTTGGGTCATCCTCTGCTGCTTTCCCAGGCACATTAGCAGAGAGCTGAATCAGAGTGGAGCAGCCAGGACTTGAACCAGCACCCATGTGGGATTCTGGCACTGCAGGCAGAGGCTTAACCTTGTACATCACAGCGCTGGTCCCCAAATATATAAATCTTAAGAAAAAAAAAAAAGGAAAAAGAACTAAAGACCTGAATCTGGCTAAAGCCAAATTAGGGATTTTGGATGTAACCAATGATTCTTGTCCTCATTTTCACCTTTCTTTCATAGAAAGCTTGAAGCTCCCTTATAAGAATGAGAAATCTCCATCCTAAATTTGGCATGAAATACATGAACATATATGGTAACTTGGAGGACATGCATGCCTTTTTTGAATATGCATATCCCTTCCTAGGACTTCCCCAAAATGAATATGTGTAACTTCTCTAAAGGCTAAGTATAAAGCTGGCACTGTGGCATAGTGGGTAAAGCCACCGCCTGCAGCACTGGTATCCCATATAGGCCCCTGTTTGAGTCCAGGCTGCTCTGCTTTCAATCCAGCTCCCTGCTAATGTGCCTGGGAAAGCAGTGGAAGATGGCCCAAGTGCTTGGGCCTCTTGTACCTACATAGGAGGCCTGGTCCAACTCTGGCCATTGCAGCCATCTGGGGAGTGAACTAGTGGATGGAAGGTCTCTCTGTCTCTCCCTGTCTCTCTAACTGAATTTCCAACAAATAAATATTTTTTTTTTAAGCAAACTATAAAAATTGTAACTGATGGCTGTTTGGGGTCCTGGCTTTGGTCTTGAGATCACCTTGCCCCTTGGCTTGACTGCCCCAAATATATTCCCTTCTACAACGTTTCCTGCGTGTTTACATCAGTGCACGTGCTAGATGTAAACACACAGATCTGCCGCATTACCTACGTGATGGAAGACATCCTCCCAATCACTTGTAGTGTAACATCCGACTATGCCTTGTCTAGGTCATTTGTTGACTTACTGTCCAGATTGTTTTCATCAGGTTCGTCTTACCTTCGACTGCCACCACCCTCCTCCCCCCAGCTTTCTAAGTCTGCAAATCCATCCGGTCTAGGGAAAGGGAGACCCGGGGCACATTTGTCTTGCTTGGGGAGACAATGAAATAATGAGTGGGGTTCGTATTTCCTAACGTTCACACTTGAAGCCATAAAGAAAGCAGGCGTTGTGGTGTGCACCACCAGGTAGGTTGGAGGGAGGCAGAGTGGATGGGATCGCGCTCCCCACCCTTTCCTGGGCTCAAACTCAAGGCTTTTACTGTAAGTTCTTTAATAGAGCTCGGCAGAAGAGCGAACTGAGGCTCGGCCAAAGGCAAGGTCCACAAGGATTAGGTGGAATCAGGGTAGGAAGGGAGAATTCTGGATTCCTAGAACGGAGCCTTTCAGAGCTTTCACCACAGGACTACATCTCCCAGAATTCCGCTCGCCGAGCCCCACAGCCCGCAAGGGACTGCGCGTGCTCGCGGCCGATGACTCCCCACCCTCCCAGGCCCCACAACCCCCGAGATTCCGCGCGCTCGCCTCGCGCCCGCCCCGCCCCGCCCAGGCCTCGGTCTGTCCGCTGGGGGCGCGCGAAGTGCGTGGCGGGCGGCAGCGGCGACGGCGGCTGAGTGCGCGGGTCGCGTGGCGATGCGTGGTTGCTAGGGGCGCCTGAGGCCGCCAGCTCGCCCTGCAGGCCGAGGGAGGAGGAGCGCGGAGCCGGCGCCGAGCCCAGGCGAAGCTGGATCCCTTAGGTGAGTGTGGCGGCGGAGCTGGCCGCACCGGCCCCAGCCCCTCCGCCGGCCCGGCACCCCCTTTCCGTCCCTCCGCCCGGCGGGCCCATCGGCGCCGGTCCGCGGCTCTGGGACCGCTCCCACCCCGGTCCCGCTCCCGGCCCGCCAACTCTCCACCCCCCAGCTCCGCGGCGAGGGGCCGCGGCCTGCCCCCGCCGGGACTTCTCCCCCCGACTCCGCCACGCCCGGGGAACTTAGTTGGCCACGCTCTGGGTGCCCGAAGCACCCTGCTGCACCCCTCGCCCTGGCCCGGTGCCGCCGCTTTCCCGCCGCGCTGCGGTTGAAACTCCACCTGGGCGGGAGCCCTAGCTGCTCTCGGGTTTCGGAGCCGAACGGGGATGCCTACTTCTTGACTTCCCACCCCGAGTATCTATGGAGAAACCCTTTCCTAAGCTGCAGATTGAAACCGGGCCGGCCCCCTCCATTCATTCCTTCACGTCTGCAGGAAGCAGTTTTTAATCAGCGTGGGCAGGTATTTAATGAGCCCGGGTACTGTGAAAGGGGCTGAGGCCGGGCGGGGTTTCGTTGGCAACCAGGCAAGTGTGTTTCACGGAGCTAATACGCCAGCGGGGGCTTTTAGCCAGTGAGCAAGCAGTGTGCCGGGAGAGGTGCTGGACCTGGACTTCCTTGGAAGGGTACTTTGTGCTCATTCCCGTTCTGGGTTTAGGAAGTATTTTAGCCCTGCCTTTATGGAGGCATCCGGCTTTCTCTCAGATACTGCCAATCACGTCGTGTTTAACTTCCAGCACCTGTGGATTCAGCCAATCAGTAAGCATCTGGGAGATCCTTTGGGGCAGTGTTGCATTCCACCCTAACATTTCTTGCAATAAATACTCAGGCATTGCATAAAAACCACCTGTTTGGTGCCCAGAGCGTTCCCAGCTGCTTACTGATTGGTCTGAACCGGCTTTGAAAAGTTATCAGTTGTTTTCTTTCTGGGAATAAAGTGGTGTGAGGGCCTTGCAGATACAGAATAACTCTAGGAAAGACAGTAAGAGAAATGGATACAGTTTGACAGAGCTAAGCAGGGTTCCGAGGGAGCCATCCAATGGCTAAGATGGAGAGGGAAGTTGACAGGACCACGGGAGGACTTGTGTGCTTTGCTGGGTTAGAACTGCATCTGCTGGAGCACGGGTGTTCAAGCCGGTGTAATCAGGGCCCAAGGTTTCTGGGGATGCACCTGCACCTGTAGCTTTAGATTAGTACATTTCCAGATCCTCAGCTTCCAAGTGACCTCTTCTAAACTGCCCTTAGGAAGAAAAGGGGGTGGGGGGAGCATCAGCTCTCGCACTGCCAAGATAAGGGATACTTTGGAAATACTGATTTCAGGGAAGCCTCCCTTGCTGGTTAACTACCTCACAAACCCAGAAGGCTTCCCTCTCCCTGCCTAATGTGTGTAGCTGTCAGTGTGAAGCTTGGTCCTGATTGGGATGTTCTGAATTCAGAACACAGTAGTCAGTTAACCGTAACATGTCTTTGGATCATGCGTTTTTTTAGAACTAAAAGCTTAGATAAGTTAGATAAAACTTGCATGAAGGTTTTTTTTTTTTTTTTTTTAAGAGATTTAGTTTAGGTGTATGTTACATTTATTTATTTTTAAACTGTAGTCACAACACTTTATTATTTATTTGGTAGGCAGAGATACAGAGAGGCAGAGAGGTATCTTCCATCTGCTGGTTCACTCCCCAAATGGTTGCAACGGCCGGAGCTGAAGCCAGGAGCTTCTTTTGGGTCTTCCACGTAGGTGCAGGGGCCCAAGGACTTGGACCATCTTCCACTGCTTTCCCAGGCCATAGCAGAGAGCTGGATTGGAAGTGGAGCAGCTGGGACTCAAACTGGCGCCCATATGGGATGCTGGCACTGCAGGCAGGGACATTAATCTACTACTCCACAGCGCTGGCCCCGGTGTGTGTTTAATAAGGTAGTTAAAGACTTAATAAAGGCCGGCGCCGCGGCTCACTAGGCTAATCCTCCGCCTTGCGGCGCCGGCACACCGGGTTCTAGTCCCGGTCGGGGCGCCGGATTCTGTCCCAGTTGCCCCTCTTCCAGGCCAGCTCTCTGCTATGGTCCGGGAGTGCAGTGGAGGATGGCCCAGGTCCTTGGGCCCTGCACCCGCATGGGAGACCAGGAAAAGCACCTGGCTCCTGCCATCAGATCAGCGCGATGTGCCGGCCGCAGCGCACCAGCCGCGGTGGCCATTGGAGGGTGAACCAACAGCAAAGGAAAGACCTTTCTCTCTGTCTCTCTCTCTCACTGTCCACTCTGCCTGTCAAAAATTAAAAAAAAAAAAAAAAAAGACTTAATAAGATAGTTAAAAGCATTTTATCAAATCATGTGATCAAATATTTATTCCAATTATAATTACTCCATTTCTTTATTTTGTAAGTAAAATGGTTACTATTTTCTACCTCCTAACCAAAAAATAAGCTTTACACTTATTTTTAACGTTTTAGTTGTTAACTTCAAGATGTGTAAAGAGTATATGAGTATGGTTTTTAAAATTTTGGGCTACATGAGTAAAACCGTTTGAGGAGTGTGTTCCGGGAGGAAGATAGAAGGCAGTAGGACGTAGCATCTGGTTTCTGTTTGAGATTACCATAGTGTCCGTGTGTAGATAGAATAGGAGAGATTTTAGGTCAGAAGTGGGGAGCGAATGAGAAAAGTTACAGTGGTGAAGACTTTGTGGCTGCTGCAGCAGGAATGGGGCGGTTTAGAGAGAGATTCACAATGGCAGGATTGGCAGCACCTAATGGGGACCGTGGGCAAGGAGCAGTGTGGCATGATCCTAGCGTGCTGACTTCCGTGAGGCAGGCGGTGGAAGGACAGGCAGCCTGAGGGAAAGATTACAGGAGTGACATTTGGACGTGCTGCGAGTGGGTGGGGGAGCCCTGGCACTCACGACAAGGGTCTGGATGATGATGGTGATGAGGATGTAGGAGGTAGCTGGTTGTTGAAGTCGTGGGATTAGAAGAGGTTGCTCTGGGAAAGTGTGAAGCTGTTGATTGCAGCTGCCATTGTTGAGTGCTTACTGTATGCAGGCAAATTGACAAGACTGAGCTCAGAGGAGCGCCAGTATTGAAAGATGGGCAGAGGAAATGGGGTGGGAGAAGGGGACCAAATGTGGACGTGAGTATGCGGGTGGAAAGCCGTCACTTGCTGCCAGACTGTCTAATGATGCCGGAACGTCAGGGTCTGTTTGTGTTTATGATCTGGAATTGGGTTTCGTTTCCCACCAGATTCCTTATGACCCTGGAATTGTCTGATGATAGGCTCCCTGGATTTTAACATGCGATCAGGTGCTTTGGCCTGTCAGCGAAATGCAGAGCAAAGCTTTTTCTCAGTGAATTGAACTTCTCACCCTCTGTTCCGGCAGAGCTGGGAACAAATACTGAGAGTGCTTGTCTCTCTTTGGCCCTCAAATACAAAGGGCTTTGTCCTCCACAGCCTCACGGCTAATCCTGGCCGGGCAGTGCTGCTCTAGACCAGTGGTTCTCACACGCAACGCGTTCCGTACTCAGGGCTTCAAAAAGGTCTTTGAGATCTTCAGTTTTTAGTTTTTTTTAAATGTGGGATCCCTATCTTCATATTTACCAAATTAGAAACTGGAATTTTCATTTGGAAATGATATCATGTTGTTGGGTAGCGCTATTAGCATGTGATGATTAACATAAGTTAACATAAGTAGAGTTTTTTGAATGAAAAATGCTGCTGCTTCAGGGTTGTTTTTGCAGCTCCCTTGATGTCCGGTTTAGAAGAAGACAGCAGGATGTTCCTGTCTTTCTGCATTCATTGTTTGTACCCTGCCTCACTGATACTTCCTTGGAAAGGGGAGGAGTACCCCAACAGCCTGTTCAGAGAACTGTGGTGCTCTTTGGTGCTACACCAAGCAAGACTTTGTAAAGGTTACTTGTAAAGTGGAATCTGAGAGGCTATCAGAGAAACTTTCCTACTTTGTTACGTTGAAATGTATCTCTCACTTTGGCCCTCACGTCCAGTGCATGACTCTAGTCTCTTGTGGTGGGTGGAGAATGCAGTATCTAAAAATCACATTCATGTCCTCACTACAAACTCTTCATGAAGGCAGTAAATACTGGGATGCTCATGGTAGCAGATACAGTTTTGCCAAGATTCTAATTTTCTTTTGGAAATTCAGATTTTATCATTGGCAGCAAATACTGCCAGTTGTTTTCTTTGAAGTGACAGACTCGCTTTGTTTTACTTTGCAGAACTTGTCTGCCAAATAGCAAAGCCTGAATAATATTGCTTATGTGTCAGTCACTCTTCCAAATAAACATGGTGTTCCCCTGAAAACCTTGCAGCGCAAACAAATGCTTTGCTTAGAGACAGTTGGCATCTTCTATCCAGCATCAGTGTTTCATATGTACTTCCCATTTGGTCATACAGGATATTAAAAAGTTGCATACTCAGTGCCAGGGTTGTGGCATAGCAGGTGTGCTTGGGTGCCAGTCCAGCTCCCTGTTAATGTGCCTGGAAAAGCAGTGGAAAATGGCCCAAGCACTTGTGGCCCTGCACCCACGTGGGAGACCCGAGGAAGCTCCAGGCTCCTGGTGGCCTTGTCTAGCCACGGCCATTTGGGGAGTGAACCAGCAGATGGAAGATTTCTCTGCGTCTCTGCATCACTCTGTAACTCTACCTTTCAAATAAATGAATAATTTTTTTTAAAAAAAAGATGCATTCTCAAGGTTCAAGATTTAATACAATTTTTAATGTGTCATCAAGTAGAATTGGCATTTATTCTTCACTGAGTGGCCAAGAAGTATCTAGAAGTGAAGAATCAGACCCATGTGTTGTCTTGATTCATGCTGGGGTTCCAGCTGTTTTCTTCACCATTGCTTTTGCTCCAAGGTCAGCCCAGGGTGAAAGGTGAAAATAGCATCTTAGGCCTGCATGACTCACTAGGCTAATCCTCCGCCTGCGGAGGCACCCCGGGTTCTAGTCCC